CCACACTTGATGTTACATTTAAGAATTGTACCAATGATAATATGATCACTTGAAAAAATGTCATCTAGTGCAAATGTAAAGCCATGGTACGATTAAATCACGGTAGGTAAATAATAATATACAGCTCTGCAATTTTCTGTAATTTACGGTATCATATTTAACATTACTGAAAACAGTTTTCCACCTCTGATTTGTCTATATACAATGGATTTATGAATAAAAATGTTGACAATGAAATGTTGTTAAATGCATGGCTTACTTACAGAAGGTAGAACCATGGTGCAATAAAAAGGTAGGTAGAGCCATGGTACAATGAAGAGAAGGTAGGTCAACTTTGAAAAAATTGCAAGTATAGAGGTCTACCTGTTTGGCTTGTAATGTCAGAATTACTATCAAAACAAAACAAAAAGCAAACAACATGTTGCATTGATTTTGAATAAATAATTTAAAACCGCGAAAACTGAATGAATGGTCAAAATTTCTTTTCAATATCATGTTCTATATATATTTTATGGTTTATTTCGCGACAAAAACTGTAAATTTTGTCGATGCATTCGTTGCAATAAGTATTTTGAAAACACCCGAATTTGAATATTTTCTGAACAATTTTTTATTATTGAAAAGAAGACACACACACAAGCAAATGAAGTTGACATATTAAGCCAGAAAAATAAAAAAATTTAAATCATATGGTAGTTCTGCCCTACCTTGAATTCATTGTACCATGGGTAGAGCCATGGTACAATGATATCAAGGTAGGGCTATGATACCATATGATTTTAATTTTTTTAGTTTATTGGCCTAATACGTCATCTTTTTTGTTTATGTGTGTGTTTTCTTTTCAATAACAAAAAATGGTTCAGAAAACATTCAAATTCGGGTGTTTTCAAAATGTTTATTTCAACGTATGCATCGACAAAATCTAGAGTTTTTGTAGCAAAATAATCCTTTAGAGATATATAGTACATGATTTTGAAAAGAAGTGTTGACCTTTCATTCAGTTATCGCGGTTTTCAATTATTTATTCAAAATAAATGCAACAAGTTGTTTGATTTTTTATTGTTTTGATAGACTAAACCTCTATACTTGCAATTTTTTCAAAGTTGACCTACCTTCTCTTCATTGTACCATGGGTAGAGTTATCAGCTGTTTACGATTTTTTTTCTGTGTGTGCCCGACTTCTGCTAATTTTGTAAATGTATTTATTGTTTTAAAAATGAAAAAAAAATCCAAAACCAATGATTGGAAGACACGTACATTGTGGCTCGCGCAATAAAGCTATTAACCAGTGTAGCAATTAAATTAAAAGATTGAACAGTTTGGATAATTTTTTTGGGATAAAATTCGGACATTTCATTCATTTTTGGCGCTATTTGACTCATTAATAAATGAGGGAAAGTATGAAAAAAATGAAAACTACTTGTTTCGTAAAATTTTGAATGAATCTGAAAGAAATCGGGCATAGCCTCAGGGCTGTATTTCTGTAGTTTTACGAAGCTGTTCTACCTCCTTATTGTTCCATGAACCAAGCTACCCTAATTTTTTTCTTTTTGTGCCCTTTCTCTGTCAAAACGTGTACATATTTTGTGTATGTGTGTGTATTGTTTTGAATAAAAAATACAATAATTTCAAATTTGGTTGCAAAATAAATACAAATTTTCTACGAAATGGGTAAGAAATTGTACACTTTTGTGATAGAAATGTATTGTCCTACTATTTTAGATTTCATATTGTGGAATAACACCGAAATTCCATTCTTGTTTCGCGGGTTTTTCCAAATATAAGAATTTTGTTAAAAAAAAAAAAATAAAAATTAACAAATCAAACCATTTCCATTCTACAATCATGGTACAATTAAGAAGGTAACCCGGTGCAATCCTATTTTTACAACTTTTTTAAAATTATACTAAAATTACATTAAAACATCCATTGTAAATGCACAAATCAAAGTCAAGGTAACTTGCAGAAAATGTGGAGACGGATATGGTTATTTGCCATGAGTTTACTTTCTGCACTCTACAATGGGTACAATATCAGAAGTATGAATGCTAAAAGCAAAATGCGATATTTTATAACTTGGACAATATTTTATTTAAGAACATTTCATAAGAAATACTTCTTTAGTTTGTTATGGCATATAGCAACGTTTTCTTGCATCACTATTTTTTGTATGTTTTATATCGCAAAGTTGGACTAGTTTAGAGAAATAAATCACAAAGAGTATAAATTTTAATTTTTTCCACATTTTAAACTGTGTTAAAAATAGCGATAGAAAAATGATATTCCGGAATTTTCTTTATAGAATTGGATCTAAATAATTCTATAATTAAATTCAATTTCAAAGCTAGTTATTATCTTTAATGCGGCTCTCGCACTTTTTGTTTCTTTTAAATATTGATTTTCAAAATTCTTTGGTTTTATTTTCCTAACCACAAAAAATAGCAGAAGCGGGGCACAACCAGAAAATTTTTGTAATCATCTGGTTTTTTCACCATACCTTATTATTGTACCATGGGATAAGTGGAGTGTGCCTTATGAATAAACCATGGTTACAGGTAGACACAGCTGCTGGGACAATGAACTGTCAAACCAATTTTGTAATTGAAAATGTTGAATGAAAAATTATTTAAATTTGTACAAATTCTTCAAAAATGCATATCATAACAACCTCCGATTGACGTCGTATAAGAAAACATATAAAAATCTATTCATTTTTGAAAAAATTAAAATTTTTTGACATATCAATGTTCTCAAGCGTTGATGCATCTACATGTATTCTTCTACCATGCAATAATCCATGGTACAATGAAGAGAAGGTAGGTCAACGTTGAAAAAATTGCAAGTATAGAGGTCTACCTGTTTGGCTTGTAATGTCAGAATTACTATCAAAACAATATAAAAGCAAACAACTTGTTGCACTGATTTTGAATAAATAATTTAAAAACGCGAAAACTCAATGAAAGATCAACATTTCTTTTCAAAATCATGTTCTATATATCTCTTATGGTTTATTTCGCGACAAAAACTGTAGATTTTGTCGATGCATACGTCGCAATAAGCATTTTGAAAACACCTAAATTTGAATATTTTCTGAATAATTTTTATATTATTGAAAAGAATACACACACATAAACAAATGAAGTTGACATATTAAGCCAGAATAATAAAAAAATTGAAATCATATGGTAGTTCTGCCCTACCTTGAATTCATTGTACCATGGAATAAACTGCAAATAAAATCATATATTAAAAGGGTTGGCAACTCTTTTAGATGCACAGCTGATAGATTGTTTACATTTGTGTTTGATCACAGACATTTTGTGCGTTGCTCCTTTTAGTGAATAGCCCTATTGTGTCAATGTTTGTTTCCAAACGTTTTTTGAACTATCGAACCACTCCTGATAAATCAAACCATTGGAGCTACGAAAAATCTTCAGTTGAATACAAAAGGGAGATAATAGACAATATTTGGGAGAGCTGTACAAGTATTGGATCTAATCTCCCAGTTGCCAATTTGTATAAAAAGGAATAATAAAGCCTATTTCTGGTATGGAAACAACGCAAAACGTATACCTAAACAGATGCATTTTTCATCTTATTTTCTAATTGTTTCAGCTAATCGCAGTAATAACTAAACTAGGAAATCCTACATTAACGAAGTCGGTTAAGATTTGCAAAGATGGGTGAACGCAAGGGACAGAATAAATATTACCCCCCGGATTATGATCCACGAAAGGGAGGTCTTAATAAATTCCAAGGCACACATGCCCTTCGTGAAAGAGCCCGGAAAATTCACCTGGGCATAATTATTATACGGTTTGAAATGCCCTATAATATTTGGTGCGATGGTTGTAAAAATCACATTGGAATGGGAGTGCGATATAATGCGGAAAAGACCAAAGTGGGCATGTACTATTCCACGCCAATCTACAAATTTCGCATGAAGTGTCATTTATGTGATAATCACTTTGAAATACAAACGGATCCAGGTAATCTGGATTATGTGATATTGTCTGGTGCCCGAAGGCAAGAAAATCGATGGGATCCAACACAGAACGAACAAGTTGTACCAGAGACCAAGGAGGTACAAAAGCGTTTGTTTGATGATGCGATGTACAAACTGGAACATCAGGCTAAGGATATAGTTGCCGGTGAAAAGGCAAAGCCAATATTGGAGAAATTGATAGATCGAAATAAAACACTTTGGAATGATTGCTATGAGGCAAATTGCAAATTAAGATCAGAATTTAGGGTATGTATACAACGTCACTAAGTGCCTGTTTCTGTAAGACCATTCAAAGGTATTAAGAAAAAAAAAACAATGATTGCAACAACTGTGTGCATTTTCCATTTTTTTATTTGCTTTCGCATTCGATTCAACATACTTAAACGGACCCAAAAAATACTGAATTTAAGTAAATTGACCAATTATTCATTTTAATTGCAGAGCAAGAAAAAAGAACTCAAGGCCCTCAAGGAAATTGATGATAAATTACTGGCAAAAAGTAGCTTGGACATTGATTTACTACCCGAAACGCAACAAGATCGTCAAATGGCTTCTTTAATGAAACTGCAAAGTAAATCTGCCCATGAACGCGAAGAAGAAAGACGTCTAGATATCCTAATGAAACCTGCCTTACCTAGTGCCACACAGACTACATTCGGTGGTTTGAAGAGACAAAAAGCTTTAAATTCACAACTGCAATATGAGCAATTGGGTATAAAAAGAAAATTAAACACAGCTGAAACTGAAGCAAATACAAGTGAGGAGTTTGTTGAGGCTAAAAAGGTATCAAACCCAAGTGAGGTTCGTAATGAAAACGAAAATACCAAGGACAAGTCCAGAGATGATGAAAACATTTCTCAACACCAAACAGTTCCTGTATTAGTAGATTTACCCAAAAGTTTAGCCTTAGTTTGTGATTATGCCAGTTCAAATTCATCGTCGCCGTCTCCATCCCAACATTCAGATAATGATGGTGAATAAAGAGCTGTATCTATTGTATATTCTTAATTTTATATTTTATTAACATAACATTTATTAATACCAATTATGAAAAGTGAACAAAAATATATTATAAATATTTCATATATCAGTTTCTAATGATAATGCTGGCATCATTTCTTGTGCAAGATCATCAACAGGGCCTGGGGGAGTGTCATCTGTAGCATAGAGTATGGTCAAAGCACGATTACACCACTCAACGAAGATATTATTCTGCACTGACTCATTGAGGCTAGGAAAAAAGAGAAAAAGTAATACATTAAAAATTCAAAATTATAAAACAATGAATGATGTGCTTCAATGGCACAGTTAATGTAATTAGAATTCCACGAAGGACGTGAAGTATAAATACATAATAATTCGACTGCACAAATCTGATTTGTTTTTTTAAAATCAACTCGTATGCATCCATTGTAGTCATACATGCCAAATTAAGAGCAAATCATGAAAAAATATTAAAGTGAAGCTTCAAAAATACAGTAGCAAAAAAAGTCATAGGCATATTTGATTGGAGATTTATACTGGTTATGAAAGCTTCAGGAAATGATCTTGCTCTGCTGTTTTGACTATAACAAGCGCCATCTTGATGTTAACTAAACAAAATAAAATAGGGAGTATAGTTTTAGGCGGCCAACATTTAGCTCAATGCTGAATGTGATTTTAGAATGTTTACAGAACTAATTTAAAGAAAAGTTAATGTGACTGGTATTAAAATATATTTAAACAGTAAAACATATAATTCAATTAGAGTTAGAAGACACGAAAAATGGTCACCACTTACTAACAGGGCTTAATACAGGGTGAAATTAAAAAACTGCAACCAATTTCAAACTCCTGTCATTTCTAAACCACTCGTCCGACAGCTGTTAAAATTATTCCAATCACAGCTCATTATATTGTTTACAAACGTACGTAAGCATTTTGATGAGAATTTTATAGGAAAAAAGTTATTCGTGATTGAATTCAAGCGTGATAGTGTGATGTTTTTAAATTGGAAAACCACAAGTGGATATCGTTAGTTAGACCACTCCAGCGTTTAAATGTGAATAAATCTTTTGTGTCTCGTGCCATGGCTCGTTACCGTTATACCGGTAGCGTAGCCCGACGTCAAGGAAGTGGACCGAAGAAAACAGCAACATCAGCAGAAATGGTTCTAAAAGTAAAGAAGCGACTTGGTCGAAACCAGCGTCGCAGTGAACATATCGCAATATTCCATTCGGCAAATATTGAAAAATAAGATCGGGATAAAGCCATTAAAATTCCAAAAAGTGCAAGAACTTACACCACAACAAAAAGAAAATTGATTCAAAAGAGCTAAAGAGTTGCTTCGCTTGGCCGAAAGTAAACTGCCGAATTTGGTTTTCTCCGGTGAGAAGACATTAGTTGTCTAGCAGTTTGTAAAGAAACAAAATGATCGTGTTTACTTACCAAAGAGGTCAGCTGAAAATGTGCATCTTCGGTTGGTGTGGGTGTCATAACTGTCGATGGTCGCTCTCCGCTCGTATTAATGATATTATGAAAGGTGTATTAAAGCTTTGGAAAAGCGCTTCCCTTGACAAGCGCTTCGCCGGGATAGGCCAAAATACCGCAGAGCAACATTCGGGCAGCGTGTGACGGTTTCATTGGCCGTTTGAAGGCCATAATTCGTGCCAAAGGTGACCAATTCGAACAAATCTATCAAATCAGTTTTTTCTCACCCTGTATTTCATATTGAAAACAAATATATTCCTAAAACCAAGTTCTACGTATTCTATATGGTACACCAATTCCTCAGAAACTGCAAGAATCTACAAGTTGCACAATATTAGGCAATTTTCGCTTTGTAAAATGAAAATTTGAAAAGTTTTACCAGTTTTTGGTAGGAAAACCCCCTTAGAAATTTGGAAAATTTCTGACGTTTACCACTTTTTCTACATCTTAAAAGCCGAACTAAAATAGTTCGGTGGATGTGTCGATAAGTATGGTATTTTGTATTATCGGCAAGTAAATAATCTCTACGCAAAAGTGTAATTTTCATTTTATTGAAAGCATCATAGAGCTTTCAAGGACACAATACATTATTTGATAGATCAATTTTGTTGATCTTTACCACCATAATTACTATACCAAGAACTTCTCTCAAAATATGTTATTCATTTGAGTTATTATCAAATATGGGTCTAGAGATTTCGTCCAATCTATTGATGCATTTTAGTATTTTAAATTGATTTTTTTTTTTTTGGTGGGTACTTACATAACTTCAATTTCGGCCAATTTCTTATAATATGTATCTCTTTCATGTTCAACAGACAGTATTTGCTCGGCCAATTGTTCTTGTGTCTCTTGCAGGGTGCGTATTGTCGAAGGTGATACCTGGCGTTCGCCATGTTGTTGTGTACCTTTAGGAGTTTTCAGCATGTCTGGTTTTGCCGCAGGCGTTTTGGCGCTACCCAATGTTTGATTGCCAGGCTTCTTAATAGGTTTCGGAGCATTTTGTGCTGCTGCCGCCATGGCAGCTGGAACTCTCAGGTTCTCCTTACCGGCCGAATGAGTATCGAAGAACTTTTTGAACCATTGTAGAAATTCGAAATTATCTTGAAACTTTCCCTTCATTAAGCGATCAATGGGAACAGATTTATCGAAATTAAGTTTTATGAATGCCGCTTGGAATAGTTTCAAATTGTAGAGAAATTCATGTTCCAATTTCGCAGATGTTTTGATTCGTTTCAAACCAATGCAATTGGGAAATAATAATTCCATCATTTGACAGTAGGCCACACCTAAGGATGTAAAAGGAAAAATTAATCATGCACAAAGCATTCAATCTTCCTTATAATTACTCACCGGAGCACAGCTCTTCAATTTTCTTGTGTTGGCCATGAACTGTACTGTTAACCCACTCCAGCATATCATGACGTGACATTTTGTCCACTGTGGCGCTGGTAAGAGCCACAGTTGGCTTCAGTTCGGTTTTATTCATGCTGAGGGGGAAGTTTTGTTCTAATTTTATTTTTGACTAATTAAATATTTAGATGGCGATCGATGAATGATTCGATTTGTAATGAAGATCAATATCTAACGGTATCACGATTAATGTGTTATGTAAATTGTTTTTTTTTTTTCTTCTTATAATGTTGGTACCGGCACTAACTCGCTGGATGTGTGCTTATGTCTCCTACTTTGATCGATATGAATTCGGTTTTTGTTTGTGGGTAGGTAGGTATGTATGTACTGCAACTCTTCTTTTTTCTTGTTGCACTCTATTCTTAGGATTCTCACAAATGATGAGTGCAGAGACGGGATTTGTGAATGCATGCCTTGTGCAAAAAACAATGCAAATAAAATCCGAATGACAGGCAAAGGATAGCAAAACATGGAAAAACACAGTGGTGGCTAAATGTTACCGTATACATGTGTACATATGTATGTAGAAGGGATGATCTCTTTGTTGATACTTAGATATTTTGGGATCATTCAGCCAATTATTAACTATTACCTTTTTTAATTATTTTATCATGCAAAATATAGAAAACATTTTGCAAATAATCTTTAAGTACCTAAATAAAAATACCTATAATAAATAAAAGTACCTAAATAAAAATAAATCCTAAATAAATCCTCCTTGCGAAAATAAGAAAATAATTCGCAAAAGTATGATACAGAAACGAAAATACGAGACACGAAGCAGTCGAAAGCATGTGTTTTATGAAATTTATTAAAACGTATTCTGAAATAAAATCTTGTGATCTAAGAAAGCATAACTTTGCTGCTGCTTTTCCATAACTAAGTCGACATAAGCATTTTGTTGGTCACAGTCAGAGATGCCAACTGCTCCGACTTAAAAATCCCTAGTGATAAGTTTAAAAAAACACTATGAGAATTTGTAAAAACAGAAGAAAGAAGAAAAAAAAAAACAAAAATCATAATTATATTTATGTTATTTTAATCTGTCTTGAACATAAAGCAAATAAAAAATCAGTAAAAGTACGTTTATATATATGAGGGTTAACCCACTGGATTTGGATTTAAATTGTCATATCCATTACTTTTACTTCAAATAAATCCTCTCAAAGTAGGTTAACCCTACAAAAAGTTCTAACGTAAACATGGCATAAGTTCGGTTGGACCAAATTTGCAAATTTTCAAAAAAAAAAAAAAAAAAAAAAAAAAAAACGTTTGCAAAATATTCCTAAATTTATAAAAATATTAAAAATGGACTACGGAAATTTTCTGTCAAAGACGGTAGCACTCATTAGGCGCCTCGAATAGGAAATTTGAAAAAATTCCAGTGAATAATGTCGTTAAAATCATCAAATATAGGGAGGTACCATTATATGGGGGCTATACAAAGACGTGGACCTGCATAGGCAATTTTCTGTCGTAGATGGTAGTACCCATTAGGAACTTTAAATTAGAAATTTGAAAGATTTCCGACGAAAAGATAGTTATATGGGATACAGTTATATGGGGTCTATATCAAAAATTAGACCTACATTGACAGTTTTACGGAGGGATGTTTCTTACGTAAGGGGAACATATGCTGCCAATTTACAAATTGTGACTAAAGCAGCCAAAAAAAACTTAAAAATATATATACTTTTGAAAACAAAGACCGTCTATGGGGAGGCACTAGAATGAGTGAGTTTATATAGGCGCTCTCTTCGCGAACCTTATTCATACTTATAACTTAGGACGCTATACGTTTGGCCTAACAGCGATATGTCGATAACACCTTTTAGGCTTATCAAATATATATCCTCTGCAGCGTTAAAAGAAAATATCCTATGCCATTATCATTACATAATTTCACTATATCATATGTCCGTAATATTTATATATTAACATTTCTAAATTTTAATTTCCGACTCTGCTCAATTATATTGCTCATTCTGCCCGCTCGATGGAGGGTCTTGTACATATCTGCAAACGTATTAATCCGTAATTATTATTAATAGGAAATTACGCAGCAAGCCATTTATGACTTGTCGACGAATGACACACCATTATGGTATTTAACGGCTAGAGTCAATGTTATTATGTTATCATGAAAGACACTGAATTTGTGGTCAGAACATTCATATATGTATATCTATGGTATTCTGCAGAATATTTAAATTAACTAATAATGGGTTATTTGGCTCGTGCAGCTTCCAAGTTCTTGCTGCGTGACATATTATAATATTGTACATAAATATGTAGGCTCCATTACAGTACATTTTTATTGGTAAACGTAGCAAAAGAGAGAGCTATCAAAAATTGTTTTTATACGCTTTCATAAAAAAATTGTTGAAGAAGTACGGGAACGGAAAAGTTTTACAAAAATGAATCTAATTAATCTTATACGGGGTGAGATAGAAAAGCTGCAACAAAGTCAAACGCCATAATTTTTACATTTTTTTAAATTTTATTGAATGAAAGAAAAATGTCGGAAATAGTATTAAATTTTAGAATAAGTTTAGATCTGTTCGAATTGGTCACCTTTGGCACGAATTGTAGCCTTCAAACGGCCAATGAAACCGTCATATGCTGCCCAAATGTTGCTCTGCGATATTTTGGGCCATTTCGGGCGAAGCGCTTGCTTGAGGTGATCGACACTTTGGTATTTTTTAGTGCCAACCTTGTTTCCAAAATACCCCAAACAAGGATTGGTATCCGGAGATGTTGGGGGCCATTTTGCCCTGGAAATGAAGCGAGGAAAATCATTTTGTAACCATTCTTGGGTCGCGCGAGATGAATGCGATGGTGCTGAGTCCTGTTGGAATGTCCAAGGTCTGCTGCCAAAATGTTTGCATGCCCAAGTATTTCATACACCCTCCAGAATATTTTCACAATGATATTTGACACTTATTCCGAAGCCGCGGTCGATTAATACGAGCGGAGAGAGACCATCGGCAGTTATGGTGGCCCACACCATCACCATGCCCGCCGCTTGAGGGTGCACATTTTTAGATGACCTCTTTGGCAAGTAAACACGATCATTTTGTTTGTTTACAAACTGCTGGACAACGAATGTTTTCTCATCGGAGAGAATCCAATTCGGCAGTTCACCACTTTCGGCCAAGCGAAGCAACTCTTTAGCTCTTTTAAGTCTATTTTCTTTCTGTTGCGGTGTAAGTTCTTGCACTTTTTGGAATTTCAATGGCTTATCCCTGAGCTCATTTTTCAATATTTGCTGAATGGAATATTGCGATATGTTTAGCTCACGAGCCATTTTTCGGTCACTGTGACGCGGGTTTCGATCAAGTCGCTTCTTTACTTTTCGAACCATTTCTGCTGATGTTGCTGTTTTCTTTCCTCCACTTCCTTGACGTCGGGCTACGCTACCAGTAATAACTTTTTTCCTGGAAAATTCTTACTAAAATGCTTTGGTACGCTTGTAAACTATATAATGAGCTGTCATTGGAATAATTTTAACAGCTGTCGGACGAGTGGCTTAGAAATGGCAGCAGTCTGAAGTTGGTTGCAGTTTTTTTCATCTCATCCTGTATATGTTGTACTATAAACCGTTTCCTTTCAGATGACAAACTTTGTGAAGTGCCTTAAAGTATGTTATAACCAGTAAGGAAAGCTCAAATGTCGGGAGGGACCGACTTTGCAAATTTAGTAGTACTATGCATATTTAGTAGTACTCTCGTAAAAAAAGGTTTATATGCAATTTGTGAGCTCTATGGCATATCTGGTACAAAATATCATTATGGTAGAGTGCATATTCCGATAGTTGGAGATTTAAAAACAAAATCATATGAAACATATGTATGGAGCAAATTTGAAATTCTTCCTTCTATGTTAAACTCGGTTGAATTTCGAAAATTCACTTCATTTGGGCTTATATTAGCTATTTGTGCACAATAAACCAGAAATCGAATATCTGAGCCGATCTTCATAAAATTGAAAACAGGTATTTCTTGGCTGCATCTGATATCTGGTACCAAATATTATTCTTGTATCGTGCACCAAATATGAAGTACTTATTTCTATACTAAATTCGGTCTAAAGTGTCAAAATTCACACCATTTGGACTGATATTAGCCATTTGGTGCACAAAAAACCTAAAATCGGATGAAGATATGTATGGGAGCTATATCCAAATCGGAAACGATCTTGATAAAATTCGAATCATTAATTGCTAGGCTCTATCTGATATCTGGTGAAAAATATCAGTTTCGTGGTGTACATATTACGAATGTGAGGGACTTAAACACCAAATCAGATGAAACATATATATGGGAGCTATAGCTATATCTCAATCGATTTTCACCAAATTTGAAGCACATGCTTGTAGGCTGAATTCGGTCGGATGTAGCAAAATTCACACCATTTGGACTGATATTAGCCATTTGGTGAACAAGAAACCTAAAATCGGATGAAGATATATATGGGAGCTTTATCTAAATTTGGACCGATTTTCACCAATTTCAATAGGGTTTGTCCTTGAGCCAAACAAATGTCATTTAGAAAATTTCATCTCAATCGAATAATAAATGCGACCTGCATTTTGTTTATAAAAATACATGGGCAGACGGACGGACATGCATAAATCGACTCAAAATGTTATTCTATGCTGATCACCAAAAGGAACTATGGGCTTGTCTCACAAAGACATAATACCCTTACCACAATGTGGTGTAGGGTATAAAAATGCATAATATAAATGTAAAAAATGTAGATTTACATAAGTCTCTAACATTATGTATAAGGCTATATACATACGTAGCCATTGAGTCAAAAATGAACTTCTTCGAGCAATGGCAAAAAGTTCCATTACCAAATAATGGGGGTTTAATCCGTTTTAGTAAACGGAACTGATTACAAATTAATCTAATCTAACTCATTATATTTACAAATTCATATCAAGCTAAATGTAATTTGTTCATTGCATATTAATGTGAAATTATAAAAGCTTTGTGAGCGGCTATGACATCTCTTTCTGATATGTCACCAAATATGCCATGCCATGATGCCAAGTTGCTTGTGTATCATCTTCTCTACACCTTGGCTCGTATTTTATTTCCAACACACTGGTAATGCGCTAGATTGTTTGTTTACAGTAAATTTGGAAGACCCCCATTATTTTGAGACTGCTGGTAATACAGAAAATAGTTAAAATAGAAAATATTTAAAAAATAGAAAATAGTACATTTCAGGACCAGTGAACGGCAGTACAATTGCTGTTTACAATGATGCTTTCCGTTAATATTAAAGATATTTTTTGGCATGGCTCACTGGTTAAATAAATGCGGATTAAACAATAATCAGTCTTTGTTGGGTTGATCCACCGTGGAAGAATATAGGTAGCCGCATCGACACAACTGATGGGACAATGAACTGCCAAACCAATTTGAATATGTATATGGAAATTTTTGGAATGAAAAGTTATTAAAATTTATAAAATTTTCATCATCACAACCTCCGATTGGCGTTGTATAGGAAAACATTTGCAAATCTACTCACTTTAAAAAAAAAAAAAACAAAACTTACAACCAATTGATATTTTCAATAGTTGTTTCTGTTCTACTACTCCTTTTAAGTTGTTAATTGTCACAATATCCCATAAAAACAAAATAAAATAAAATATTTTTTTATTTTTTTTGAAAAATCTTTAAAAATAAGAAATAAGACTTGAAAACTATCGTCTTATTTACAGTTCTCTCTTGTAGCCAGTAATTTTCTTCACCTTCTCCACTTTCTTAACAAATTCAATAAAATCTAGATATAACACATTTGAAACCTCCATGGCCGCAAAGTGGCCACCCTCCTTGTAGTAGGTGCTGTGTATCAGATTTTTGTACTTATCCTTCAATTGAAGATCCAAGAAATGCATCATTTCATTCTGAAAGCGGGCACAGCCAGTGGGTACATTCGTAGGAACGCGATCCAATTTCAAAGCACGTTGTTCCTCGGACACTGCCTCTTTGTAAATACGCACCGATGTGGTAATGGAATTTGTTAGATAATAAATCATGACATTATCCAGCAGAGCGTCTAATTTATAACGTTTCTTGAGACCACCATCGGGCAGATGACGATAGGTGGCATTTGTCCACGTTGAGAATTTTTCCAGTATATAGGCTGCCAAGCCGATTGGATTGTCATGCAAAGCACTTCCCAATGTATCGGGTTTGGTGGACTGTAAATGGGCATAACCAGTTTCTTCCAAGAGATATTGTATTTTTTCTGATACTGGCGAAAAGAAGTCTTCGTAGCCCTTTGGTGCAAAGAGTCCAGGGAAAGTGCCAGCTATCAAACCTTTTACCATTGATTTGGGACTTGAAACAGTGCACATATTCGAGTGGTAGCCAAGCACATTCTCCGGAAACAGTGTGGCAATGTGTGAGCCAATAATAGAACCCCAATCACCGCCTTGAATAAAGAATTTTTTATAACCCAAACGTAACATCAGATTTCTCATCATTACAGCGATTTGAGCTGGACCAAGACCACGTTTCGATGTGCCCTGAAATGAATAAAAAAGTGTACATTTGTATGTGTGTGTGTATTACAACATAAATTTGTATCTATATGTGTTGCTTTATTTATTTATTGAAAGGTTGAGTTGCATTAACTAACCTGTCGTATAATTTAATCTTTGGACTATTATTTATAATTGATTATAAATAAGCATTAACAATGTATTATTTTAATTAGAAATTGTTTTCTACAGCATTTGCGGAAATAATATGTACATTAGGTATAAAACTTTTTATAACCTTCCCCATAATATATGTGAAGGGTATATTAAATTTGCCATTCCGGTCGCAACTCCTCCAAATAAGCATTGTAGACCCTTCAAAGTGTGTATATTCTTGATCAGCATAAAATTCTATATCAATTTAGCTGTCTGTCTGTTCGTAGGTCCGTAGAATTTTTTATATCGCTTTGGTATAGCCCCTATATAACGGTACCGTAAGATTTAAGGTGTTTTGGGTGTTCCAATCATTGTTTTAAGTCGAATTTGCTTTAAACTGAAGTTTGTATTCCCAGTATGTAGAGAAATCCCCACAAAGAATAGGCCGAAGTCGAAGCTTTGAAATAGTCCTCATATAACTGTTTCTTAGAATCTTTTACGTCTACGTTTCCCACCCTTATGGGGGTAGCACTCGTTTTTTATCGTATAGCCCCCAAATAATAGTGCCTCCCGATATTCGGTATTTTGACGATTTAGATCATATTACATTTAAGACAGAATTGTCTTAAACTGGGTACTTTAAGTTTGTAACGGATTCCACCTCCTATGGCCCAACATTGTCTATATAGGTTAATTTTTCTTATTGCCCCATATAATTGTACCTCCCCACAATTAAAGCCAATTTTTCAAACGGAATTGTTTAATATTCGAAATTTAAAACTTGTAACGTTGATTTGGGATTCTGACGGTTTTGGCCAAATTTCCCAGTGAAGTCGTGGAAAATTCGGTATGTGGAGTTTATAATGGGTTCTGTCTTCTTTGACAGAAGACTGCTGGGGCTGGATTCTTGTTCTATGAAGATATGAAGTGAAAAATATTTCCTTTATACAATTTCTCACTTGACATTTCTTTCCTTTAAAAAAAAATTCATTTCACATTTTCATAGAACAAGAATTGAGGCCCTGGATTATTAATATTTTTTATCACTGATATTACAAAATATTTGAGGTTTTGTTGGGTTTAGCCACATTTTTAAACAGATTCTTTTCTAATTTGATTTAGATTTTGGATTTAAATCCCGAAATAGATAACAACCACTGTAGCAGGAAAATGGTACCATCAACATTACGTTATTCTTAAGACTTTACCAACCGATTTCACTGGCATAAATTCAATATTCAATCCCAATTCTTTTATATTTAAAACGGTGGAGGGTGGGTTTGAGGTTCAGCCATTCCAAACTTAATGCTTTTTTACTTGTTTTTTTTTTTTAATTGTGTCAGTGCGGAAACTATACGACTTTGGAATGTACCGTAAAAGTAATCTGGAACCCAGTGATGTTTTACGTTAATATGTAGATTTTACACCGGATTTAAAATAAAACGGGTTGAATAAATCCGGTTTAAGCAAATCCTGATAATTTGGGTTAATCGAGATAATAGATAATTTAATGCGGTATGGGTTGAAAATGTTAGGGCGACATTCTCTTAAATTAAAACATTAAGGAAAAAGTTCAAAAAAATCTCAAATAAACTAAATGTTGCATTTGTTATTATTAAATTTGAAGTCACAATGAACTAGCTTGTGAGGTATCTGATCGTATTATTTAGATAAGACATAGGTCAAGGTGTGAAAATGGACGCCACAAAGGGTCAAAATCTTGCAATCAACCTGTGGTCATTGTCCGATTTGAATCATACTTAGCACATTTTAATATTTTTGGCTATTTTGAAACCATTGTTAAAATGGAATTTATTGGTCTTTTAATTCTGGTACCTCTTAAAGGGCATAAATATTACCAAAAGAAAACCAACAAAGAGAGTCCAAAAGTCCCCCCTTGCATATTAAGTAGAGTTTCATTTAACAAATAAAAATATAACAAATCTGATGAACAATATATATGGGTCTATTGCTATATCTGAACAAATTGGACGAAGATATATGTGGGGCTAAATCCAAATCTGAACCAATCGCGATTAAATTTGGGAGACGTATTTCTGTGCTGTATTTGTTACATTTCCCCTAATATCGTTGTTACAGAGTTCATGTTACGGCTGCAGAGGACAAAAATAACAAATCGGATGAAAAATGTATATGGGGGATATAACTATATCTGAACCGATTTCGATCAAATTCGGCATACACATTTTCAGGCCTAATTTGGGTGTATATGCAAAATTCCATACAATTCGGGCTGATATTACACGTTTGGTGCACAATAAAAAGCAAATCGGACGATGATATATATGGGAGCTATATCTAACTTTTTTTGTGTAAAATTTCATCTGGATCGAGCAATAAATACGGCTTGTACTTTGTTTACAAAAATGCATGGACAGACGGACAGACAGACGGACGGGCATGCATAAATCGACTCAGAATGTGATTCTCTGCAGATCATCAAAAGGAACTATGGGTCTATCTCGTTTCCTTTTGCTCGTTACGGACAAATACACAAAGACATAATACCCTGACAACCTTGTGGTGTAGGGTATAAACATAAAAACCTCATAATGAGAGATGGAACTTTCCAATATTGTTAAAACTTGGCAAATAATGTTTAGATAAAATATAGGTCAAGCCTAATACTTCAAAAAAAAAAAAAAAAAATGAATCGCGTATCCGTGGTAGTATTGACGTCAGACTTAAGTCAAGAGCGAACATCGGAAAAAACATTGATTCACTGTGTATTGTCCTCCCCCCCCCAAAAGATAATGTGAAATCAGTGTCCAATTTACTTTAAACTTCGCATATCCCAATCGGTTCACCCCCTATGTTACATTTCCTACAAAGGGCCAACAATTTTAGTAAATTATATCTCTTGTTTCGTTCATTTATTTATGGAAACGCCCATATACTTTACGCTAAAAAGTTCTACCGCATTCGCTGCGTTGAAAACGAAAACGTAAACATATTTGGTAGATATGCAAAAATTATGGCACCGTGCGTGACAGCAATTCAAATTTATACATATTTTGAAAATAACTTATACTATCCAACAATATTAAAAAAAAACAACAAACAATTAGATATATTTCATTGCAAAATCTTATGTTTCTTCTCTGGAGAACTGGATTCGTAGAAGCCTATTTCGTGTGGGGACTAATAATAGCCAGGAAAGATCTCAGGATTTACTTAATAGTATGGTAGAGTAATTTTTTTCTTAGTGTGTCCCTTTATATCGAGACGGAGAAGACTACTTGCGGCCACGAGAGTTGAAGCTGCACTTCGGATCAGAATGGATACCAATCCGTAAACATCCTCCTCATCCGATTCAGTATGTGGACGAAGTTGGCAAGTGTAAATAAACCAGCGTCACTGAAAAGTTTATACTGCTGATCTCCTACATATATTACATCAAATTAAAAAGTTTCAGTCGAGTATGACAGATGTATACCCTCAGCAAAAGTTCGTTTATATTTTGACCTGCGTTATTATTATTATTCAAAATGTTGAGGTTCCGTGCAAGATTTGGACTATTTCGTCTACTTTCTTCACTTTATATGGGATATGTAATAACTTTTGAAAAATTTTAAAATGTGTGTGAGATACCAGACAAAGTGGACCGAAGTATTTCACTTCGTCTAATACTGATAAAAATATTGGAATGTAAATTTCATACGAATAATTGCAAATCAAAATTTAAAATTTTTGAGGAGGAGGTGCCAGAAGCATTGGGCAGATAAATTAGCGACTCTTTGTGAGGGTGGTATCTTGTGTTAGTAGAAACATTGAGATGTCTGAAATTGGAAGAGTATTGGATGCTTATTTCGCATTTTTGAGCGTTTGGTTATTCAAAATTTTGACCCTTTGTGGGGAAGGTACCAGAAGGAGTAAACCTATATTGGTTTACTCCTTCTGGTTCACAGATATTGAAGAAGAGTATCTAATGCAATTATTCAAAATTTTGACCCTCTTAGGGGAAGGCACCAGATGAAGTGGTCCGACAAATTCTATCTTTACATCTGATCTTGTACTAATAAAAATATTTGAATGTTGGAAATATTGGAAAATAATCGGATACTCATTTCGCGCTTAATGATATTCATTGTTATTCAAAATGTCGACCCTTTTGTGGGGGAGGTACCTGAAGAAGTAGATCGATATCTGCTCAATCTTCACACCTGACCTTGTGCTAGTAGAAATATTGGAATGTGTGAAATTTGAAGAAAATCTGATTAATTGTTCAAAATGTTGACCATTTGTGGGGGAGGAGTGGGCCGATGTTATCCATTTTTCCAGTTGACATAGTACTGATACAAACATTAAGTTTGCACAAAATTGGATTATATTTTTTTTGTTCTATACGATAAATTATAGTGGAGTTATTAGAAGGAGTGAACCGATATTACCCATCTCCCAATTCGATCTAAGTTTGACAATACTATGGCGATATACCAAGTTTGGATCAACTCGGATACTCCTTTCGATAGTTATCGTGCAAACTAATAAGAGAGACCGTACACAGCACAGCTTTAGGACAGATCGACTATAAATGTCCTGAAACGGATTTTGTGCAAAGGGAGGTCTAAAACCGTTATTTCGTTTAGGCACGTTTTGGCCGTATCAAATGGTCCTGAGATGAAAAAACTGCAACCAACTTCAGACTGCTGTCATTTCTAAGCCACTCGCCCGACAGCTGTTAAAATTTTTCCAGTCATAGCTATTATATTATTTACAAGCGTACAAAATCATTTTGGTGAGAATTTTCCAAAAAAAAAAAAAAAAAAAAAAATATTCATGATCCCAACATGCCAAAATGGCTTGAGAATAATATTACAATAAGCTTATGAACATAAGCCTTAAGCTTGAGAAAATCTTGAGAAAACATTGAAAAATGTTTGTGTTACAAGTATAGAATAATCGAAACGGAACCCTTATTTATAAGCTTACGAAAATAATATTATATTAAGCTTATTTGTGTAATAGTATAAAATATTTTTTTTTTAATTTTTAATCATATTTCACATTTTTTTCTTGATGGACATCCCAGTAGTCACTGCCTCATGTGGCCTTCATACCCTGACGCTTTTTTCTCCCTTATTTGAGCTTCTGCATCTCTTCCACTTAGACTACACATCGATTGAATTCCTGAAACTTTTTTGATGCTTCCAATCTGAAATGGGATTGGAATAATTTATGTGAAAGATTCCCGGATTTTTTATTCATCCATACCTTAAGAGTTCGGTCCAGAAATGGGTTCTAAATTCGCATGATTTTGTTTTTTACCAAAGAAAATAATTTCTTGCTGACAATTTTTACAAAAAATCCAAACTAATTTGTCAACAAAGGACAGATTTGAGAAAAGTTTGTGGAACATAAGTGTTTCTCAAGCATTGTTGAAAAATTATATTTTTATAATATTGTTCTCAAGCTGTATTGTATTTTTGGTATGTTGGGATGGGATTCAAACGTGATAGTGTGATTTCTTTATAATTGGCTGGAAAACCACAAGTGGAAAACCACAAGTCGTTAGAGCACTCCAGCATTTAAATATCGACAAATTTTGAAAAATAAGCTCGGGGTAAAGCCATTAAAATTCCAAAAGTGCAAGAACTTACACCGAAACAGAAAGAAAATGGACCCAAAAGAGCTAAAGAGTTGCTGTCGAATTTTTGGTTTTCTCCGATGAGAAAACATTCGTTATCCAGCAGTTTGTAAACAAACAAAATGATCGTGTTTACTTGTCAAAGAAGTCAGCTGAAAATGTGCAACTTCGGTTGGCCACCAGAACTCAAGCGCCGGCCATGGTGATGGTGTGAGCCGCCATAACAGCCGATGGTCACTCTCCGCTCGTATTAATCGGCCGTGGCATCAGAATAAATACCGAATATTATCGCGAAAAATTTCTGGAGGGTGTATTAAAGCCTTGGACTCGATCACCTCAAGCAAGCGCTTCGCCAGGAACGGGTCAAAATACTGCAGAGGAACCTTCGGGCAGTGTGCGACGGTTTCATTGGCAGTTTGAAGGCCATAATTCGTGCCAAAGATGACCAATTCGAACAAATCTAAACTTATTATACTAAAATTTGATGTTATTTCCGACATTTTTTGCTTTCATTCAATAAAATTTTTAAAAAAAAATATGACGTTTGACTTTGTTGGAGTTTTTTATATCACCCTTTTGTAGCCATATGGCTGTCACTCCTTCATCGTTCTTTACTAATTTAATTTGGTCACTAATTCAAAAAATTGCGTAGAAAATTCCACTATTGACCAAACTTGCATATGGTGGAAAATATCTCTTTGAAAATAAGTTTTTCTCAGTTTTTAGAAGTGGTCTAAATTTTGTTAAATCTTTCATACAATTCTACTACTTCAATTCCATTTCAAACTTACCTGTGACCAAGCAAATCCTGGCAAACTTGGCACAATGACATTGAAGATATATTTGTTGTTTTTGTCCTTTTTCGTTTGATGCAATTTATGGATTAGACTATAAAACTCCCGAACTGAGCTGGGCCAGCCATGAAGCAGGAGAACTGGATAATGGTGTCTATCGACGGTGTATTCATCATAGACCATCAAATGGAGGAAGTGCATACGTAGGCTGTATAGGATTTTTTTTAAATTAGAAGAGAATCACAAATCCAGGTGATAAGAAATGATTGACAGTTAACAAAAACAACAACATCAACGAATAGTGATAAGACACTCGGACACATGTTTGTGTATAAAAACCTTACCCTTGAATATCGGTGGTAAAGTGATTGAACTGCCATAGGAAAACTTCACGTTCACGCCAACGCGGCATATAGTCATCGCGCCAATACTCAACCAATTCTTGCAAGAACTTGGAATTGAAACCGTATTCGAAGTTAACATCTTCCAGAGGTTCAGTTAAATGCAAAGTTCTGTTAAGTAGTGATTTCAAATCGTCCAGTGTCTGAGGAAAAACGAAAATTAACACATCACACACACACGCAAACCACAATCAATCACTTGTTCGAAATCAATTTTAAAACATTATTCTATTACCGTATCGGAATACATTAAACGATTGCCAATTACTTCCGATGAATTGGCCAAATAGGCCTGCCAGTCTTTGGGTTCTTCTTCATCGCCCCACCATTGATTCAGCGGCAGTTGGGGTGCCTCCACATCACCCATTGTGTCGGAGATTTTCTTGTAGAGCATTCCGCCAGCCATGGCGAGCGCAAGGATCAAGATACGTGTTATGGGCGACATTGTTATCACCTGTTGTAGTGACGTGTCTGCGAAAATTTATTACCCAAGCGTGCCACCGTTATGTTCCAGGTATTATAGACAACTGCCATCCAAAGCATTTACTAGCGTTTATAGCACGGCGCGATTGAGTGCTGCTACTACAACCCTAATCGTCATTATTAGCTGGATTGTTTATTTGTTATTGTTTTCCCTATTGGCCGTCCGTCTGCTGTTCGGGTTCTATTCCTAAACAAAAACAGTGACGACGTATCTATTTAGACTTGAATATTGTTATCGCATGATAAGTGCATTAAGCCATAAACGATCTCTATGGGCGATCATACCCCACTTCGTCGTATCTCGTTCCAGCCACAAAATGTACGTATGTACGTACATTTTGTTCACATTGTTGTGGGCAGAAGTCGGTTTTGTTGTTTATGATACGTGTATGTACCTCTTTCGTCCGTTTATTCGTTGGCCCAGTGCGTCCATTGATTTGATTTGTTCTTATCAAATTCTTTTGGCGTTTTTGCTAGTGAATGAGTAAAGTACATCAATGAACACAATTATAGCACAGCGTTTAAGAGTATATTATATAACCAAACATTTTTTCCACTCATTTATACTCTTGCTCTATTTCGAGCGATTTTGCTCCGACTTTAATTTTTCATGACTCGGAAGAGCATCCACTCAAAACAAATGATTGAAGAGTATGCTCCGTAAAAAACTCCTACACTTCTAACAATCAAATCTAGCAATGCCCGTAAGCAAGTTTCGCTCCTGAGCGAAAATGAGCAATTCTGTGCTATGTATTTTCTAAATGTTCAGCATAATATTTTTTCATGATTGACCCTTGAGCAAAATTGAGCATACTCGATCTCGTTTTTTACTGGCAGGAGTGCTCCCACTCGAATTCGAGTAGAGAGTAAAATGTTGTTTTAGAATCTTCTAGAATGTTTTCAGGCAGTTATAATTAATATAGTTATTCCAATTGTAATAATTTAATGAAGAATTTTGTTGAGCCCATTAAACAAAGAACAAGGATAGCTAAAATTGAAATGAGGGTCACTGATGGAGTGTATGATGGATGTACCAAAGGGTTTTTGGAAACTCGCACTATAAGTTTACGAAGAGCACTAAAATGTACTACATTTGGTATTATGTAAACGGATAGAGCTAAAAACTTGAGATTAAGTATGAGAATCAACATTTGGAAAGTAAGTTTGATATATGAAGGTGGTTTAAGAAATGTGTACTTAATGTGCGAACTTTACAAAATGGTACTAAATTCGGAACAAATTGTTTAGGGTAAACGGATGAAGGATGAATTTTGAAATTTTGTATTGGGGTCTCTGTTGGTGGTAGGTTTGTGACAAAGAGGTGAGTTTGGAAATTTGCTATAAGTGCACGAAAAGTATTAAGTAGTACTATATTTGGTACAAATTGGTTTTGGGTGAACAGAGAGGGCTGAAATTTTGTATTAGAGTCGATATTAATGTGTAGCCTGGACATATGGAGTTGGTTTCGGAAATGTGTACTATAACTGCAGGGAACTTACTAAATTTGGTATTGGGTGAATAAATAGAACTAAACCCTTGAAATTTGATAAAGATGTCAGTGTTTGTGTCTGTGGTTGAGATATGGAGGTGGTTTTGAAAAGTACTAAATAGTAGCAAATTTGGTGTTGGTTGGTTGAGTGGTTAGTGTCTGTGGTTGGCAGAAGCAGCTGGTTTTGGAAATGTGTACTATAATTGTTCAAAAAGAACTAAGTGGTTTTAAATTGGGTATTGGGCGAATGTATGGGGCTGGAATTCTCAAATTTGATATTAAGGTCTCTGTTGATAAGTGGGATTGATATATAGTTTTTTTTTATTATTTTTTTTTTTTTTTTTGAAAATGTGTATTATAATTATACTGAAAGTATTAAAGGGTTCTATAATGGATCACTGTATCTGTGCTTAAGATATGGATGTGGTTTTAGAAACGTGTACTGTAGTTGTATAAAACTGGAATCTCGAAATTATATATTGAACTCTATTTTGGCATCTGGTTGGGGTTTTGCAAATAATTTACAAAAGTTCTAAATGGTACTAATTTTGGATTACTGTTGGTGTTGAGGATGTAGATGAAGAAGATGCATATTGGTTTGAATATGTTACTAAATTTGTTATTGGGTGAAGGGGTAGAGCTGAAATTTGTAATTAAGTTCACTGTCGGTTTCTAGGGTTTACATATGGAGACGTTAAAATAGTTTTAGGCAGAAAAATTTGAGGTTAGTCCATTCTGCAACGGTTTTAGTAGTGTCCTCCTCGGATTAAGAAATTTTGTCAAACTTAACAAATTGAAAAACTATTTGGCATTTGCCAGTGGTTGATAAAATTTATAAGGTATTTGAAAAATTTGAATGCGGATATGGTTCCCTAAAGAGAAGAAAACTTTAGCTATTGCACACGGTTATAATTTCACCGATTCTAGTTCCGCAGAAAACTTATTTTCTAATAACCAACCCACGCTTCCATCACAGTATTCGGCTGCAACAACTAACATATTTTTATTCCGTTTGTTACTCCTCGAAATACTCATGTCAGACCCAAGAAAGTATATATATTCTTGATCAGCGTAAAGTTCTAAGTCGATTTTGCGATGTCCGCCTGTCTGTTGTAATCACGCTAACGAATTGAAATAAAAGGCTAAAATTTTGCACACATGTTTATTTTGTCAATAGGCAGGTTAAGTTCGTAAATAGGTGATGAAGGTCCATGTTTTCATATAGCCCCCATATAACGGTACCCCCGATATTCGGTATTTTGATGATTTTAGCGACATTATTCACCGGAATTGTTTCAAATTTGATATTTGAAGTTCAAAATGGATACTACAGCCTAAGACAGAAAATTGTCTGTGCAGGTCCACGTCTTCGTATAGCCCTTTTATAACGGTACTTCCCAATATTCGATATTTTGATGATTTTAGCGTCATTTTTCAACGGAGTAATTTCGAATTACGTATTTATAGTTCGTAATGGTATTTCGGTATTTTGACGATTTTAGGTACAATATTCACCGAAATTGTTTGAGATGTCGTATTTGAAGTTCGTAATGGATGCTACAGCCTGTGACAGAAAATTTTCTATGCAGGTCCAGCTCTTCGTATGGCTCCGATATAACGGTACCTCCCTATATACAGTATTTTGATGATTTTAACCACATTATTCACCGTTTATTTCAAGTTTCGAATTTGAATATGGTAATGGCTTATGACAAACAGTGTTTATGTAGGTCCACGTCTTATAGACCCCAATATAACGGCTTTATTCGGTTTTTTAAGATTTTAACAGAAATTTTAACGGATTTTTTTTGAATTTTTCCAATTTTTTTTCAAATGATGGAGGGTATTCAATGTTCGGCCCGGCCGAACTTACTGCTTTTTAACTTGTTTTTAATTTATGTTATTTGTTGCAGACGAATACTGCAATCGAAGTTCAATCTTCAGAAACAGTTCTAGTTCTAAATTGCCTTCAGCCATATAACTAGCACCTGTTAGTACACCGTGAAGTTCATAAAAACCGAAATCAACATCCGATTCTATTCCAGACATGGTACATCTTAATCTTCCCATCAATACAAGATGTTTTATAAAGATGGTAGAGATCGGACCATTTCTTTGGCTACCTGCTCCACATAGTGTTCAAGATTTTGAAAAACGAAACGCTCAAAATAAGCGAAATAAGCATCCAACTCTCAAATTTCACACACACACAATCATTTTTGTTAACACAAGATCTGTTGTGAAGATGCTATATATCTGCGAACCCCTTCTAGTACTTCACCCACAAAGGGACACAATTTTCAATACTTTTATCTGCCATAAATTGCGAAACAACTCAGCGATTCTTTACAACTTGCTATATCTAGGTCTAATTATTTAGGTCCGATACGAAATGGACAATATAGACCCATTCTTTAAAAACCCACTCCACAGAGGTTCAAGAGGGCTGAGGGTATACATCTGTCGACAAAACCGAGTGATATTTTTTAATAGTTAATCTAAAAACAAATACTTAATAGCATAGTATAAATAAATATTATGGATACAGGCATATTCTGTGTGCACCACACTGTGGTACAGATTATTATGATGAGTAGGTCCATAGTTCCTTTTGACGAACTCCATAGAAACACGTTCGGGGTCGATTTATATACGTACATTCGTCTGCCGGTCTTTCTATATTTGTCGCATTCATGTTCGATTGGGAGTGGGATTGAAATGTTGGACAGCACATTTGTTTGGCCCAGAGACGAAATCTATTGAAATTGCTGATAATCAGTTACAGATATGTACGCTCAATTTCACTTTTATTGTACGCTAAATGCTTAATATGTGACAAAATACAATTGATTTTGGCTCATATGACCGAATTCAATCTTGAAATATATATATGAAATTTTGAATAAAATAACTCCCATATATGCGTTTCATCCGATTCGTTAACAATCTTGTTTAGCAATCATATTCGACACAACACATCAAATTCAGCCTCTGTCAAATGTTGTCCGATTTAAATATATATATATATATATATATATATATATATATATATATATATATATATATATATATATATATATATATATATATATATATATATATATATTTAAATCGGACAACATTTGACAGAGGCTGAATTTGATGTGTTGTGTCGAATATGATTGCTAAACAAGATTGTTAACGAATCGAATATATTTTATATATTTCCCTTCAATTTTTCATAAATCATATACCAACCATACAACGTACTAGTCTATCAAGTGTATTTCAGAATTAAAGTTAAACTTTATAACCTTTGTTGTTGTTTTATAAAATATATTTCATTCCATGAAAAACAAAAGTTATAAAACATTCCAAAAAAACTAACCAACTAACTATGAAATATTTTGAATCACATCCACAATTATTAATAGAAAAACAAAATAATAATTTATAATTAACATATCGATCAAATTTATAAATTAGCTTTCTTAACAAATTCGATGAAATCATTGTACAATACTTGTGGCAACTCCATTGCAGCGAAATGGCCACCATCTTCGTAGTATGTGCTTGTAACCAAATTCACGAACTTGTCTTTCAACTGGCAATCGGTTGTGTGCCAGAGGTCATGGAGGAAACGAGCACAGCCAGTTGGTGCTTTAACTGCAACACGATCCATTTGCAGTTCCATTTGTGGCTTGTTGAATGCTTCGGCATAGAGACGTTGAGAGGTCGTGATTGAATTGGTCAGATAATAGATCATAACATTGTCGAGCAGACCGTCGAGAGTGTAACGTTTGGTCAGGCCACCATCGGGTAAATGTTTGAATTCAACATTGGTCCACGTGGAGAATTTTTCCATGATGTAGGCAGCCAAGCCAACTGGATTATGGGCCAGAGCAGTACCAATAGTATCAGGTTTGGTGGCTTGCAGATGCATGTAGCCGCTTTCTTCCATCATATAGCCGAAGAAATCGCCCAAAGGTTTAAAGAATTTCGAATATTGTTTTTCATAGAAGAAGCTTGGTAGGAAGTTGGAAGCAAGCATTTTAATCATGCTAACAGGACTCATGGTGCCGCACATATTAGAGTGGTATCCAAGTGTGTTTTCGGGGAATAGGGAGGCCAAGTTGGAGCCAATAATGGAACCCCAGTCACCGCCTTGGATGAGGAATTTGTTGTGACCCAAACGCAACATAAGATTGCGCATCACAACAGACATCTCAGCTGGACCAAAGTTTTTCTTAGAAGCAGGCTAAAAAATTGGAGAATGCATACTTGAGTATATGAAAATTGCGTGTGTGGAGGACAAATTATAATTTACCTGCGACCAACCATAACCTACCAAGCTGGGAGCAACAACTTCAAAGACATAGTCACTCTTGTCATTGGGTGTCGTCAACAAGGGAATAATGTCGTAGAATTCGCGTACAGAGCCTGGCCAGCCATGCAATAAGAGTAAGGGCAATACCTTTTTACCTTCAGTCTTCTTGGGCTTTACATGGATGAAATGAATTTTCAATCTGGAATAAAAAACAAAAATTTCAAATTAGAGATTAGATGGACACATTGTATTCACTATAACAGCGAGATAAATAAATATTTTTTAAACACTACATGACAGATCTTTATTGACTTTCATTGCAGACAAAACATCTAAAAGAGATTTTTAACAAGGCGTGGTTCTAGAATGCAGAAAACCTATTTTGCTTTGGGCGCCAGAATTGTACTACGTAGAAGGATATGATAAAGCTGGCGCATTGGCGAAATATACTTAAAACTTTAGGAGTCACAACTTCCAATTCAGGCCTTTTGTGTTATTTTTTGGAGCCCAAGATTTCGTTTTGCTTTGGTACCCCAACCCATGGTGCAAGGAATCAAAATTTATTTGTTAGAGGTAGAAGTTTAACCAGAAATATTAGGCTTTGCTGTGAGGTGTGGCAGTTTGAGACAGAGTACAGATTGACGCGTTTTTACTCAGGAGTGAAACTTGCTCGTGAGCGAAAGTGCGAGATTTATAAGAAGATCACTCTCTACTCTTCTGTTTTGTACACCAAAGTCAAGAAAAGAAAAACTGCAGAGGCAATGAGTAGCGATATTATTAACCGGAATCGTTTCAAGTTTCGTATTTGAATATCGGACTGGCCTATGACAAAAATTGCATATACAGGATGAGATGAAAAAAGTGCAACCAACTTCAGACTGCTGTCATTTCTAAGCCACACCACAGCTGTTTAAATTATTCAAGTGACAACTCATTATATTTTTTACAAGCGCACAAAAGCATTTCGGTGAGAATTTCCCAAAAAAAAGTTATTCGTGATGGAATTCAAGCGAGATAGTGTGATTTCTTTATATTTGGCTGGAAAACCACAAGTGGTTATCGTTAGAGCGCTCCAGCATTTAAATGTGAATAAATCTTTTGTGTCTCGTACCATCGCTCGTTACCGTGATGCTGGTAGCGTAGTTCGACGTCAAGGAAGTGGACGGAAGGAAACAGCAACATCAGCAAAAATGGTTCGAAAAGTAAAGAAGCGACTTGATCGAAACCCGCGTTGCAGTGGCCGAAAAATGGCTCGTGAATGAAAAATGAGCTCGGGGTAAAGCCAATGAAATTCCAAAAAGTGCAAGAACTTACACCGCAACAGAAAGAAAATAGACTCAAAAGAGCTAAAGGGTTGTTAGCTTGATCAAAAGTGGTGAACTGCCGAATTTGGTTTTCTCCGATGAGAAAACATTCGTTGTCCAGCAGTTTGTAAACAAACAAAATGATCGTGTTTACTTGCCAAAGAGGTCAGCTGAAAATATGCAACTTTGGTTGGGCATCAGAACTCAAGCGCCGGCCATGGTGATGACGTGGGCCGTCATAACAGACGATGGTTGCTCTCCGCTCGTATTAATTGACCGTGGCATCAGAATAAATGCGAAAATGATTGCGAAAATATTCTGGAGGGTGTATTAAAGCCTTGGGCACACAAACATTTTTGTTGCAGACCTTGGACATTCGAACAGGACCCTGCAACATCGCACTCAGCACACGCCACCCAAGAATGGTTACAAAATGAGGTTCCTCGCTTCATTTCCAGTGCACAATGGCCACCAAAATTTCCGCATACCAATCCGTTGGACTATTGTGTTTGGAGTATTTTAGAAAGCAAGGTTGGCACTAAAAAATGCCAAGCGCTTCGCCGGGAATGGGTCAAAATACCGCAGAGCAACATTCGTTTGACGGTTTCATTTGCCGTTTGAAGGTCATAATTCGTGCCAAAGGTGACCAATTCGAACAAATCTAAACTTATTCTAAAATTAATGTTATTTCCGACATTTTTTGTTTTCATTCAATAAAATATTAAAAAAATTTAAAAATTATGGCGATTGACTTTGTGGCAGATTTTTATCTCATCCTGTACAGATCCATGTCTTCGTATATTTTTTTTTGATTTACTTTTGTTTTGAAAATTTGCAATATCTTTCTAAATAGTAAAGGGGATTTAAAGACCGTCCGGCCAAACTAACTGCTTCTTTTATTTGTTTTAGTTCGACTGAGTTCCACTCTCTACTCGAATTTGAGAGGGAGAACTGTAGGGAATAGAAAAAATCGAGCCTATTCTGTTTTCGATTTCACTCGAATAAGAACGAGCATGCTTTCGAGGGTATGGGCACAATTTAAAGGTCATATGTGATTTGTGAACAAATAGATGGGGCAAATAAAGTAGCCAATCTTAACCTGTTGTGAAATATAATTAAAATGACGATGTCTAAATGTATCATTACACAGCAGAATCTTATAATCCAAATTTTGACACGTAATATTTCCCTTCTGATATGCTATAATTATTTTATTTCCTTTTTTTTAATATCAACCCTAAAACCATATGGGATTCAAATTCCAAAAGTCTCAATTGCTATCACATATGCAGGGTCATACTAAATTTAGTCAAGTCATTAATTGAGCTATTTTTAAATTATGTCTACTATTCTTATCAACATTTAACTACCAAAGTTTTACGATAGAACAACAGATTCACCAGCCATTAAATAAACACCCAAACTTTATAGAATCTTCTCGAATCTTTGGACGTGCTTCAGCACGTTTCTTATCACATTTTATTGATAAATTGGCAAACCTAAATCCAATAAAACAAAAACATAATTGAAATTCAATCAACGGCTACTGTTCGTCGTCGATTGGCGGAAAGTATTTTGAATAAAACACGTCCCCTCCGCCAATTACCATCAGGTGTGTTTGAACGCACCTTGAACTATAAACTTTGAATAAAAATTTTTAATGGACTTATAAGTGGTGGATGTTGTGTGTACAAAATAATTGTAAACATATCAATAACAATCATTAAAATTTATCGGTATGGTCGCCGTAATAGCTTAACCTACAGCTGACCAAAAATGCACCAAGTGGTCAATGGCCCACCAAGCAGCTGACGCTGCGCATGTTGATACAATGTATGGAGCTTCTGTGCATACATAATTAGGAAACCAAATCAAAATTAAAGACAGATAAATACACTCGCAAAAAATCAACACAAAATTAATGGAATACTGGGAAATTGACTTAAGTTTAGAAAATTTGCTTAAAATTATTTGGATTTTTAATTAATCCTTGTGTTGAAATCAGAAACGTAGATGAATTAACCTAAGAGGACAAGGGCAGGTTACTAATTTCTAACATATATGTTTTAAACATTCCATGATGCGGCAGAGTCCGTTATATTGTATGGATAAAATTTCGAAATCGAATACAAATTAAAGGTGTTGGCGTGGCGTACTCCAAAAGAAGTCTATTTGGTCAGGGTATTATGTCTTTGTGGGTTTATTTGTATAGGATGGAATTTGGCTCATACGACCAAACTGAGCTTAGAAACAAGAATCACAAAGCTATAGCTCCCATATATATTGTTCATCCGATTTGTTATTTGTGTTCTCCGCAGCCGAAGTATGCACTCTGTAACAACGATATTTGGGAAAATATATCAAATACTGCTCAGAAATACCTTTGCTTAATTTTATGGAGATCGGTTCAGATTTGGATACAGGGTGAGCTGAAAAAACTGCCACCAACCTCAGACTGCTGTCATTTCTAAGCCGCTCGTCCGACAGCTGTTAAAATTATTCCAGCTCATTATATTGTTTACAAGCGGACAAAGGCATTTTGGTGAGAATTTCCCAGGAAAAAAGTTATTCGTGATGCAATTCAAGTGTGATAGTGTGATTTCTTTATATTTGACTGGAAAACCCCAAGTGGCTATCGTTAGAGCACTCCAGGATATAAATATGAATAAATCTTTTGTGTCTCGTACCATAGCTCGTTATCGTGATACTGGTAGCGTAGCCCGATGTCGGACGGAACAAAACAGCAACATCAGCAGAAATGGTTCGAAAAGTAAAAAAGCCGAAAAATCGCTGGAGAGCTGAACATATCGCAATATTCCATTCGGCAAATATTGAAAAATGAGCTCGGGGTAAAGCCATTGAAATTCCAAAAAGTGCAAGAACTTACACCGCAACAGAAAGAAAATGGACACAAAGGAGCTAAAGAGTTGCTTCTCTTGGCCGAAAGTGGTGAACTGCCGAATTTGGTTTTCTCTGATGAGAAAACATCCGTTGTCCAGCAGTTTGTAAATAAACAAAATGATCATGTTTACTTGCCAAAGAGGTCAGCTAAAAATGTGCACCTTCGGTTGGCCACCAGAACTCAAGCGCCAGCCATGATGGTGGCCGAAGACCTTGGACATTCCAACAGGACGCAGCACGTGCCACTTAAGAATGAATACAAAATAAGGTTCCTCGCTTCATTTCCAGCGCACAATGGCCACCAAAATCTTCGGGTACCAATCCGTTGGACTATTGTGTCTGGAGTATTTTGGAAAGCAAGGTTGACACTAAAAATACCCAAGTGTCGATCACCTCAAGCCAGCGCTTCGCCGGACCAAAATACCACAGAGGAACACTCGGGCAGCTTGTGACGGTTTCATTGGCCGTTTCATTCAATAATGCTTTCATTCAATAAAAGGAAAAGTTATAGCGTTTGACTTTGTTCAGTTGTTTATATCACCTTGTATTTAGGTATGACTTAGGTCACGTCCGAAAATGGACAATATTGGCTCTCTGTTTTTGTATCTCCCCCACAAAAAGTAAAGAATATGAGAAATACCTCTGTAAAATAAGAAATGAAAATCCGATTTGTTCATACTCAAAATTTTACAAGAACATAAAAATCTCATATTGATGCCAGGTAGTATGTGATGTTGTTCCATCATGTCACATACTAATGTTTAGATAAGACTTAGGTAGCTGCCCTAACCTTTTTGTACCTTCCCCAAAATTTTGATTAATAACTGTCTTGAAGGGGAAAATCAATGTCCGTGTTATCTATACTTTTTAGTATCGGTACACTCTTTCTGGTGCTTCAAAAATATGAATAAATCTTTATAAACATCATTCTCCACTAATAAACAAACGTTGTTTTTATAAAAACAACAATAAAGGAATTAAGCCTGACCATTTTGCAACAACAAAATGTCTCATATAGTTCAAATATCTCATATTGTTCAAAATTTTTATAAGACCTTCTGCTTTACTTTTGCACATTGCAATATTTCTACTAACATTAATCTAAGCTAAAGATACGATATGTGGGTTCAATATTCATGGGTCGTCAAATGCTGGGGGCACAATTTAATTTCTCAACAATCACTAGACCGTTTCTTATTCTTTATAGCATGTTTCCATTGGAAACCGAACAACGTTGTTCGCTCTCAGAATTATGTACACGAATTAACCCGTTCATACGGCACGATTCGTAATTCATAGTAAAATAATTCCTTTTTTCAAAAATTTTGTTTGTTGATTTTAATGGGAATTTATACGAAAATACATGAAATTCTCACTAATATGAATAGAAGAAATGATTGTTTTTCTCCCAAAGATTTATTATATCATTAATTTTATAATTTTCATTCACGTTTTCAACTTTTTGTGTAAATGTTGACATTTTGAACATATTTTTATATTTTTCTATTTTTAAATTTTGCTGGAGAGACACTTGTCAAACATTTTTTCTGCCGATACAAAGTTTTTGAAAATATTGCCTCTTTTGTTTGCAGTTTTCTGTGGAAATTTCAACTCGTGGATAAAATGCGTACCTCGAATGAGAGAGAAAACAAAATGTACTTTCGTTTGAATGTACATACGCCATTCAACATTGTAGTTTTCATTCATAATTTTCAGTCTTCCCAAAAAATTTTAAAATTTCATTAAATTTTTCTATTTTTAATTTTTAAATGTCATAATTTATTTTTCGATAAATGCTCTCATTTGTTAGGGATGGGACATATTTTTTCGTTGTTCTGAGAGTGATTTGATTTGAACAACGTACAAATATGAGTGTTCGCTCAGGTAATTTTGTGTGAAGAATAATGTAGTTTTTTCATAGTTAAGGGTCAAACAACGAATAGAGAGCGAATCAAGTGCAGTGGAAACGCTACATTAAGTAATGAAATATACTTGCATTATTCGTGTTCGACATTCTTTAATATTACTATTCTTCTAATTAATGATACTCAGTACAATGTTATCAGTTTCACAATCATTTTCTCATTTTCTCTATGCCCACAAGCTAATTTTAAATTGTTCATTAAATATTATGTTTTACTGTAATATTACATTAACACCTCAAGGATGCTGTTAAAACAAAAATATTTCTCCGCCTCATTGGACTACACTCATATTTACATTCCACTTAGACTAGTTTCTATGCAAAAATCAAAATGCAAATTGTTTTGCAATATGAAAAGTGAAAAAGTAAACTGAAATAGCTTCATTAACATGTGGTTTTTATAAGAAACCAACAGCTTACTCATAACAGATTATTTAACCAAAATGGAGCGGACAAACTTACAACTAACTACCACTAGTCTCTAGTCGATTAATGCTTTTTTGTTTTTTATTTCTCTTTTTATCTTTGGCATTTTCATAATCATCGACTTGAACTTACCCTTGAATTTCGGTTTGGAAATGATTGAATTTTTTCAAAAAACTTTCACGTTCCGACCACTTTGCCAGATAATCATCACGCCAGTATTTGATAACTTTTTGCAAATATTTCGAGTTGAAACCATATTCGAATGCCACATCTTCCAATGGATCATGTAATTTGTATGGTCGCTGTAGTTGTAATTTAAGATCTTCAATAATCTGGAGAGGAGAAAAAAATGGGAAATTTATTATTGTTGGAAATTGGAGTTAGAGTAAATCAATAAACAAATGTGAAATTAAAAACTGATAAAAATTCGTAATGTGACCTCGATGGTATGTAACTACTACGGGTAGCACAGATGTTTCTGGATTCTTCTATTTGTATAACTAATTTAATGTATTCAAAATTTAACAATATAAAAATCATTAATTATGGACGGCCCTAGTTTACCTAATAATAATAATAAAAACGATTTATTTTAGGATTATCTAACATCGACAATATTCCAAAAGAGTCTGAAAAATATATGATATTTTGACATTTGTTATTTCAAATAATATGAAAGACGATTACTTCTCAAAGATGCCATTGATTTTAATCGAAATTATAAAAATATACAATTTTTTGCCTGTCAAAAAGTAATTAAGAAAAGAGGAAAATAAAAAATCCCCGATACGTATCTGGGTTAATAACAAAATTTTGCATAATTAAGTGGTGGCCGAAACATAACAACTTCAAAGTTGGGTCAATGCGATCTAATCTGAAAACGAGTTTGGGAAATTTCATACAACTTGAGAGAAAAGGTCACTGGCCGTATTGCAATGGATTCAAGTTCGGCGATGTTAAGTAAAACAATACAACATGTTTGGTGGTGTGTGAGGCATACTTATCAACAACCAATTTATGTTTATAAATAAATATGAAAAAAAGAAACAAATAACCAAAATATATTAGTTATCGTATCTTTTGACAGTTATTAATAATTTCCTTTATATATTTTTTTTCAAGAGTCGCATCGAATAACGAAAAATGTGAATCTATGGGCCTAGATTCTTTTATTTAAAACATTTGAAGTCTAATTTCGAAATGTTTGCAAGTGAGACCAGCAACGAATGAGAATTTGGGAAATGTGAAATGAAAAGTGGGCGAAAATCTAAGATATGGTAAAAAAAACTTTTTGCACATTGTGTGTATGTAGTGTGCAATTAGACCATACAATTTGAACATGGCTAATATAACTTTGACATTACTGGTGGTGGATGATACTAATGACCAATTGTGGAACACATGAGTTATATCTTTAACAATATTTCATAACTATGTCAAGTTTGTGAAGATTGGCCGAAGTTTCATAAGCCACAGCATATGTACACTCACATAGTTAGTATAAGTATGCCATGTTACCATTGTTTATTCAATTATTGAAATATTCACATGCAGAACTGTAATTATTTGCAATATGTTCATTGTGGTACCACTTTTCCACAAGACAAGCAAACAAGTTTTCTACGGTACGCTTACAACATTTTACCAATCAGCTAGTTTTTTTTTTTTCAAGTTATTTATCTAATAATCTATCTGTGTAAGAGTGTGTACAAAAAACATGTTGCAAAATGCATGAGACATACAAATTTATGTTGTTGCAACATAATGTGACATTTCAATAACGACACACAGCGTGCATACCGTTTGCAATAGCACCGTACTAATGAAATATTGATATTTTGAATATGTACGGATGGGCGGTGACTTAATAAATTTCAGACGTTTCTGCTTATATTTTTTTTTTATTTTTGTCGATAAATAATAGACCGAGCGATCACAGACCTTTTTTATTTTTCTTATTTCAGTTCCTCACAAGAACACTATTTCTACGATATATTTCATTTTCAGACTTGGTCTATATAGCCTTGCACAATTTTTTAACTGACGATGAATATATTCCATTCTCGAGTGGGTCTGAATGATACGCAGGAATTGTCCGGCAAAATCTTTCTGAGAGAGTAAGGTAGTTTTATTCTCTTTTGCGAGGAAAATGCAGCTGATTTGTCAAAACAAACCAATTTGCCCCCATTAAAAGAAAGAAAGAGTCACCAATTTTAAAATTTTTATAAATAAAAAGGAAATTAGCAATAAAATAAAAATATGAGCAATAAAAGGAAGATAGATTTGATGTGTTCCCCGGAATCCCTTAAACATGTTGCTAATGGCGTTTGTGTAAAAATGTTGGAAATATTTTGTGTTTTTATGGCTTTTATACACTCTATTTAAGAAGAATCTATATCTATAAAAGAGGAAAATGTTTGTACGTTTGTTTGTTTGTTTGTTTGTTTGTTTGTTTGTAATTTATGGACTCGAAAACTGCTGAATAGATTTTTCTGAAAATTTCCATATATACTGCAACATCGCCTGAAAGTAACATAGGCTATATACATTTTTGAATTTCCACTTGGAACTGGAGATATAGCATCAGAATCGGAGGTACCTTCCAAAAATTTAGATTTTATATGCACATATCTATTGATCGGTTAAAGATACAGTCTCCAAATTTGGAATGTGTAACGGAATTTGGAACAAAAATAAGTTTGCTAAATTATATTGTAATCGGTTCAGATTTGGATATAGCTCCAATATATATTTTCGACCGATTTCGTTCATTTGATGCCTCAAACACAATATGAATGTTCGATTCCAATGAAACTTGGAATATGTGACGGGATTTGATCCGAAAATAAATTTGTCAAATTATATTGAAATCGGTTCAGATTTGGATATAGCTCCCATATATATTTTCGGCCGATTTCAAGCATTTGATGCACCAAACACGCTATGTATCCCCAATTTCAATGAAATTTGAAACGTGTGATAGATTTTATCTAAAAAAAATTATTTCCCAAATTATATTGAAATCGGTTCAGATTTGGATATAGCTCCCATATACATTTTCGGCCGATTTCATGTATTTGGTGGACCAAACAAGATATGTATGTCCAAATTTAATGGAATTTAAAATAAGTAACGGAATCGGGAGCAAAAATGAATGAAATCGGTTCAGATTTGGATATAGCTCCCATATATATTTTCGACCGATTTCATGTATTTGATGCACCAAACACGCTATGTATCTCTAATTTCAATGAAATTTGAAATGTGTAGCGGAAATTAAAACAAATATACATTTGTCAAATTATATTAAAATCGGTTCAGATTTGGATATAGCTCTCATATATATTTTCGACCGATTTATGCACCATACACGATATGTATGTTCGATTCCAAAGAAATTTGGAATATGTAACGGGATTTTGATTAGAAAATAAATTAGTCAAATTATATTAAAATCGGTTCAGATTTGGATAGCTCCCATATATATTATCCGCCGATTTCACATATTTGATGCACATTTGACAAATTATATTCAAATACGCTCAGATGTGATTATAGCTCCATATATATACTCAGCCGATTTCACATATTTGATGCACCCAAAGCGAGAGAGACAAAATCTGGCACCAGCAAAAATTGCCAAATTATATTGAAATCAGTTGAGGTTTGGATATAGCTAACATATATATTTCGGCCGATTTCATACATATTATGCACCAAACACGATATATATGACCGATTCCAATGAAATTCAGAATGTGTAGCGGAATTTGGTTACAATAATAAATGTGACAAATTAATTGGAAATTAGTTAAGATTTGGATATAGCTCCCATATATATATTCTCGGCCGATTTCACATATTTGACGCACCAATTTCAATTAAATATGAAAGGTGTGGCGGAGTTTGGTGTAAAAGTAATTTTTTTTAAATTATATTTAAATCGGATCAGATTGGGATATGATTTTAATAAGAACCATTGACCCACAACGCCTTAGGCTAACACTAAAAAACAACACAACAATTTATTTGAAATACGCTTATTACGGCGAAGTATGTTGCTATCTCGAATTCACTACTTGCAATAGAAATGCCACTCTACCTAAAAAAATTGCAGTTTCCTGCACTTTGGTATTTGCTATGAAATAAATAAATCCAAAGGACAAACCCTTCGTGTATGTATGTCATGTTACTGCTTTTCTAATGGTTTTGGTTATTTACGCATTAAATTAGTGCAATATTTTTTTTAATTTTTAAATTTGTTTTTCTTTATCCAACATATATTCGTAAATAAAATTTTGAATGCATATAAAATCAAAAGGGGTAGCGAAGCGCACCGGGTTCAGCTAGTATATTCTAAAGCAGAAAAGTAAGATATTATTAGCCCCATAAGTAATGTGAGACTTGATTTTGGAATGGTTGAATTTTGCTTCAAAGTATAATCATTCTGATTTTACTCTAAATCAAATTTGTAGGGTAAGTGCGCTTAAGTTAGGCATGTCCCAGTAGCCGGCATTTTTCCTATTTTAACTCAAATAAATAATAATGTTTATAAGTAAATGTAAATAAAAGGTTATATTAGCTTCGAATATAATTTAATATATTTTGGGTAAAATTTCGCCAAGGAAAAATTATGTATTCTATTTTTGTCTATAAAGGTCATTCAGCACGAACGAGACATTGCACATTCTTAAGAAATAGTGGAGAACTCAACTATTAAAGACGTTCTGATAATGGCGTATGCGATTCTGCATCATACATTGTGCTATTAACTTATTGGTTCTATTTTTTATGGACAGTCACCATTTTTGGTATTCGACATTTCCAAGAATTTCTGTAAAAATGTTCAAACGCGTGGAATTAGCAAATAAATGGATTAAATGTTGTTCTGATTATCTTTAATTCTGCTATAACTTATTGGTTCTATTTTTTATTGATAGTCAAAATTATTGGGATATCGACATTTTTACGAATTTCTGTAAAATTGTTAAAACGTGTGGAATTATCAAATCATTAAATGTCTTTCTGACAATGGCGTATGCGATTCTGCAACATTCATTCTGTTATAAACGTATTGGTTCTATTTTTTATGGACAGTCAAAAAATAACTATGTTGTGGCCCGAACTTTCAAAAAATTCCGAAAACTACCACTTAAATGAAAACCGTTTTATGGGGACTCTACGAAGACGTGGATATGTATACGAAATGGAATGTCATAGGCTGTAATGCCCATTACTAACTTCAAATACGAAATTTATTACAACTACGGTGAATAATGTCGCAAAAATCATGAAAATACGGAGTATCGGGAGGTACCGAAGACGTGGATCTGCACAGACAATTTTCTATCTTAGGTTGTAGTACCCATTATGATCTTCCAGTAGGAAATTTGAAACAATTCTGGTGAATAATGTTACCGTTATATGAGAGCTATACATTTACGAACTTAACCTGCCTACTTATAAACTATGCATGTATGCAGAATTTTAGCCTCCTATTTCAATTCGTTCGAAAGACAGACAGACGGACATCGCTAGATCGTCTTAGAATTTTACGCTGATCCAGAATATATATAATTTGTATGGCCTATTATGAATATTTTGAGGAGTTGCAAACGGAATGACAAAGTTAATATATTCTCCATAGAATGGTGGAGGGGATAAAAAATGTACACAGTCTTTTTGATACTGTCAAAAGAACTATTTAGACGAGGATATTTTTGTAAAATTGTTATAACTATGCAATTTTTTCTGATGTCGACCAGTGGAACACAAAACATTAAGACGTAGCCTAAAGTCGATTTGTAGGTGGAAAACATGGACATAACTACAACCCAAAAAATTAAATAATTTTTAAATTTAAATACTTAGGAATAATTTTAAATATTTAAAGTTCGATCGTATTTACTACGAGCCCAGCGTCAACTTTCAAAACATTCGGGAGGATAACTTTATTTCATTGCCCTCACGAATGTTAATGCGAATTCTAATTTAAATTTGCATCGCTTGAAACAAAAACATAAGAGCACTGTAATCTCAGTAAAACTGGACCCTGGTATTTTTTAGTAATACACAGGGTCCAAAGGTCTATATCTGTACATACACTGCCTCATATAAGTATCAGCAATTACTAGATCAACTACCTGTGCGTTGCAATCATTTGTGAATTCTCCTCAAGGTTAACTAACCAGCATTAGTTACGCACTCTTAAATGTAAGTTTATTTTCCAAAGAGACGAACAAAATTTATTTTTCCGTCATACTATTTTTCCCAAGACAGTAGTCCTTCTAAAACAGCTAATATCACCCTCAAACTCACCTCCGGCTTAGCGGCAATATCGAATGGTTTAATGGAAACATCTTCCTTATAATCAGCTCCACTACCTGGCCCCCAGTATTGTTTCTCGTCTAATTTTGGTGCAGGAATGGGTTGATTTAGTAGACGGTAATTCTGATACAAGGCGGCCAGACCCAAGCAAAGGCCTGCAATTAATACTCTGACCATTACACCCATGGCTAGATATTTGGCAGGAATGACGTTCTCCTTGCTTTTTGTGGTTTTTTGTTTGTTTGTCTTTTTGCGACCGTTTTCTACCGAATACGACGACGATGGGGGAACACCGAAACGCACGGAGACGATTAGTATGTACCTAACGCTTCGAGTAGGTAAAAACAACTGAAACAGCGACTTCAAGCATTTGTTTCTTGTTAAATTAATAAAAAAAAACTTTTGAAAAAGCACATCACTTCATACATTTCCAAACGCACACACCTCCAAACATACGTACATACATGAGCCGGCATATGCTTTTCAATTTTTTATTCGCATCATGCGAATTGCATGAACGATCCCAAAAATTAGATAAGAGAAGAAGAGAGTGTTAATATATTAATGTCGTTCATATACAATAGCCGCGTTTTATAAAAATGTTCTGGGCTATTGATATTTTTAGCAATACGAATGGAAATTATTTGACTTAAACTTCTCAATTCCATGGAAACTCAAAATGAAAAATAGTAGTATTGTGCAATATTAGAAAATGAAATTTATTTAGCAAAACACATCTACTTTGGTTGATATAATCAAGGCTGCTCAACAACATTTATCATTTACATATTTTAAATCGATCGTGTTAAATTATAACAAGTAAAAAAGCACCTAATTTTGGTCGGGCCGAACTTTGAATACCCTCCGTCATTTGGAAGTCATATGGGGGCTATATGAAGACGAGGACCTGCATAAGTAATTTCATTGGCTGTAGCATCGATTCCGAACATCAAACACGAAATTTAAAACAATTCCGGTGAATAATGTCGCTAAAATCCTCAAAATATCGAATATTATCGTTATTCGTATAGCCCCCATATACGAAGACGTGGACCTGTATATGAAATTTTTTGCAATAGGTTGTAGTACCCATATGATCTTCCAATACGAAATTTGAAACAATTTCGGTCTTTAACGTCACTACCGTTGTATGGTAGGTTCACGAAAACCAGATTCATAAACGCCCAGAAGAAAAGGTTCAAACACGAATCTAGAAAATTAGGCAAAGGTTAACTTTGGGGCAGAGGTAACATAATTCTGCGTTTTCGAAATTGCTTATATAAGGGTAAAGAGTATACACTGAGTGGGTACGCTTGTCTATGATAAGCAATAAGTTGTTTGGAAAAACATTTTAGACGTACAAGAGAGTACGAAATGGACTAAATACGGCAATGTTGGGGAACAGACAGAGCAAGAGTGCGGAATCTTAGCAACAGAATTCACTGATGGATTTTTATCATAAATCTACCAAATGGTTGTACGGAAATTCGAATTTGAAGTGTACGAAAAGTACACTTATACCTATATGTATAAATTTTAACGGGCCTAAAATCTTGACATTTTATGTGGGAATCAAAATTTTTGAGGTATGCCTGATATAAGGAAGTAATTTAGGAAATGTGTACTCAAGTGTATCAATCGTTTTGAATAGTACTTATTATTGTACAAAATGGTGCTCTTAATAATGAAATTTGCTGTTAAGATAGTTGTGCATGCGAAGTCTTGAAATAAGGTGTACATATGAAAAGTATTAAATGGTGCTAAACTTGGTATATAGTGTGGGAAAAGAGCTGGAATTGTGCCTTTTGGTATTAGAATCACTAAGAGTATCTAGTTTATAGATAAGGGGGTGCATTTATAGTGCACGAAAAATATTAAATGGAACTTGATGCTATATAGTGTACGAAAAGTACTAACATTTTGTATAAGGGTCCATTAACAAGTTGAATTATACGGACAATGCGATTTTTTAGACCATATTTCAACCGAACTTCCAGTTATGGAGTACCCATATAGTGGAGACTCAAGCCGAATTTTTCCGCGGAATTATTTGAAGTTTTCAATAAGGTAACGCCTTTTCTAATTGATAAATGGTCATATAGGTCAACGTTTTCGTATAGTTCTTATATAACTGTACAACACGATATAGGGTATTCTTATAATTTAAGCGCCATTATTCAACAGATTTTTTTAATTCTGTTGCTTTATGCAAGTTTCTCATACGTCCTCTTTATCACTCATACATGTATGTTCTGACTTTCAACCTTTTCCAAACCAACATTCTCGAAACTTAGCTAGTTTTATTTTAGAACGAACATAATTGCATCATCCCAAATCTATCCTTGTTGAATAAACATAGCATGGTTCAATGTGAATCAATTTCGTTTAAATTTGAAAGAATTATTTCCAAGCTCTATGTGATATCTTGCACATAATATTGTTATCGCAATCCTCTTGGTATGACTAAGAATCACAAAAGGTTTCACATTAATCACACATGCAATTAATTAATAATTTATTGGGAATTCGGTAAAACGTGTTACTTCCTCTTAGCGCGAAAGACCAATTAAATATAAAGTGAGGAAAGTATTTAAAGACTAAGTTGAATTTCAAAATTGTTCTTCGTCTTGGCACTAATGTCTAAAATGCATAATATGTTTTAATACTTTTTGAGTATATACTTATGCTAATGTGCTGGGCGAGGATTTCCACCTCTAGATATTCTTCCATCTAAGATGTTCATGATATAGAGGGAGAGTCTTACATTAGAGATAGTTGAACATTTTTTCAAAATGATACTTTTGTGGAAGAACAGACAAATACAGAGTTTAAATCGTCTTAGATATCTTCCGGTAGCCTTTGTTCGTTAAACCATTCAATTTTATACTATCTTGGCATAATATAATGAAAACTGCAGCACATGTTCTTTAATATTCATTCTTTAATAAGGTAATAGACCTTTGAACTTAATTCAACCTTGTTCAATGTCATATAATGTATATGTTATCAATAATATCATAGACATTTTTGTGTCGGTATAATATGTACATATATACGTAACAATGTATATTCGATTTGGGATTTAATTAATATCAACGAATTATGCAGTTTTGAAATGCATAAGACACAATGGAGAGAGCAAACAAAAAAGTATGATCGAAACAGCACAATATGACAATTTTGAATTAAAACACAACTAATGTCGTTTAGTTTGTCTCGCTCATTCTCTATCCGCTCTCCGTGATCTGAAAAGCTTTTGTTTGTTTCGATCTTTGCACTTTCGTATATTTTGTTGAGATTATTTTTAGGGAGAGTTCGGTCAATGAAAACAACAACAAATTTATGTTTGTATTCCTGTTTAGAATGAGAAGCCGGCATTTTTTTTTTAGAGGGAATGAATTGGCATTTTTTATTTGACTACTTTTTTTAGGTTTTGCCATCTCATGCCGGCTTCCAGAAAATACTTCAAGTACACGCTCCTAAACAAATTGTGTGTTATGTACAGTCACGAAAAATTGTATTCGTACATCCCTTAAAAGTGTTTCACAAAAATTAAAAACTTTAAAATAATCACCCAAAGGGATAGAAGAAAAAGAGAAATATAAATGTCGTTGTAGTAATTGGCATGCACAACCCAGTAGGAACAAGTAACCAATAAAGAAAGGCCCAAAGTCGGGCGGGCCGACTTTATGATACCCTACACAAATCTGCATATTTAATAGAAAAATAAACGTTTTTATGGGGGATTTATGATCGTTTTTGGATGTGTATTATGGCTTTAAAGTAGATATATATGGGAGCTATATCCAAATCTGAACCGATCTCGATAAAATTTTCAGATTTCTTTATATTTGGCTGGAAAACCACAAGTGACTATCGTTAGAGCACTCCAGCATTAAAATGTGAAAAATCTTTTGTGTCTCGTACCATCGCTCGTTACCGTGATACTGGTAGCGTAGCCCGATGTCAAGGAAGTGGACGGAAGAAAACAGCAACATATGCAGAAATGCTTCGAAATGTAAAAAAGCGACTTGATCGAAACCCGTGTCGCGGTGGCCGAAAAATAGGTCGTGAGCTGAACATATCGCAATATTCCATTCGGCAAATATTAAAAAATGAGCTTGGAGTTAAGCCATTGAAATTCCAAAAAGTGCAAATACTTACACCGGAATAAAAATAGACTCAAGAGAGCTAAAGAGTTGCTTCGCTTGGCCGAAAGTGGTGAACTGCCGAATTTAGTTTTCTTCGATGAGAAAACATTCGCTGTCCAGCAGTTTGTAAACAAACAAAATGATCGTGTTTACTTGCCAAAGAAGTCTGGCAAGTGCTCAAAATGTGCACCTTCGGTTGGCCACCAGAACTCAAGTGCCGCCATGGTGATGATGTGGGCCGTCATAACAGCCGATGGTCGCTCTCCGCTCGTATTAATCGACCGTGGCATCAAAATAAATGTCGAATATTATCGCGTAAATATTCCGGAGGGTGTATTAAATCCTTGGGCACACAAACATCTTGGCCGCAGACCTTGGACATTCCAACAGGACTCAACACCATCGCACTCAGCACACGCCACCCAAGAATGGGTACAAAATGAGGTACCTTGCTTCATTTCCAGCGCATAATGGCCACCAAAATCTCCGGATACCAGTCCGTTGGACTATTGTGTCTGAAGTATATTGGAAAGCAAGGTTGGCACTAAAAAATACCGCAGAGCAACATTTGGGCAGCATGTGACAGTTTCATTGGCCGTTTGAAGGCCATAATTCGTGGCAAAGGTGACCAATTCGAACAATTCTAAACTTATTCTAAAATTTGATACTATTTCCGACATTTTTTGCTTTCATTCGATGAAATTTAAAAAAAAAAATGTAAAAATTATGGCGTTTGACTTTGTTGCAGTATATTTACCTCATCTTGTATAGCTATAGCTAACATATGTATGTTTCATCCGATTTGATGCTAAGTCCCCCACATGCGTAATATACATTCCACAACAATGATATTTGATACCGGACATCAGATACAGCTCGAAAAATCAAATTTTATCAAGATCGGTTCCGATTTTTGGGTACCTTCGATGTACATCTTCATCCGATTTTATGGTTATTGTCCACCATATATGTAATATCAGCCCAAAGTGGATAGGTTTTTTTATATTCAAGCGAATTTTACCATTTAGTGAAATTCAGTCCGGTATATCTATTACCCCAAAAAAATATTTTTTAATGTTATTTGACATCAGAGATCCCATCAGAGCCATAATGCACATTCAAATTAGGTTAATAGTTTTTTTATTACGGGAGATCTACTATATACGCATAGTGGTGTAGGGTATCATATAGTCGGTCCCGCCAGACTTTTGACTTTTCCTTACTGTTCTTTTTTTAACAAAATCCTCGTTGTATCTCAATATTTTCAACAAAGAAGTAAAAACTTGGCTTTGAATTCCTTAACAATCACTGGATCTATTTTTTATGAAACATAGATTGAAGGAAAGCTTAAGATTTCACAAATCCAGCAAAATTATGAAAATATCTTTGCTGTTTAAAAGTTATTGATTTTGGGCCAGGGAAAATGTTTCTTAAGCACTGTGCGCCGTAAGCAAATTCAAATTTTTGTCACAGCAATTAATACAAAAACAGTCATTTATTAAATTGAATCATTAAAAAAAAAAAACAATAAATATTCTGTACAAAACAAAAACAACAATATTTAAAGAAATAACATATTTCATCCGATGCTCTCGATTTACTTGAATTCGATTTTATTGACAAATTCCGCAAAATCAATGTACAGCATTACGGGTGCCTCCAATGCGGCAAAGTGGCCGACTTGATTGAAGTATTTGCTGTGGATCAAATTTGGATACTTATCCAACAACTGCCAGTCGAGAGCTGGTGGCAAATCATAGCGGAAACGGGCACAACCCATTGGCACTGGCGTTTGGACACGTTCCAATTGTAAGCCCAAATATTCCTTTTGCATGTTCTCCTTGTAGAAGCGGCCTGCAGTGGTGGCACTGTTGGTCAGATAATAAATCATGACATTGTCCAAAATCGCATCGAATGTGAACACTTTGCTGATGGCATCAAATCGTTGATTGTGGACCGGGCCAGTTGCCGCCTGAAATTTTTCAATGTAATACGAGGCAAGTCCAACTGGGCTAGTGAGCAGAGCTGTACCAATAGTATCGGGTTTGGTGGCTTGAATGTGGAAATAACCACTTTCTTCCAAATAGAATTTCAATTTTTCCGATAACGGGAAGTGATGGTCATGGAAAAAGCGGGACGGCAGGAATTTTTCGGGCATAAAACTGGCCACAATGCTCTTCATAATGGCCAGGGGAGTTTGCATCACGCACATATTTGAATGGTAGCCCAAAACGTTTTCCGGGAAAAGTGTGGCAACATTACTGCCAATAATGGAGCCCCAGTCGCCGCCTTGCACCAAGAACTTTTCAAATCCCAGACGCAGCATAAGATTACGCATAACAATGGCCATTTCGGCAGCATTGAAACCAACTTTGCGGGCGGGCTGAAAAAGGGTAAGATTGCATTATTGGATTCGCAAGATTTGAGTTTGTTAGACTTACATCTGACCAACCATAACCCACTAAGGATGGTGCAATAACTTCAAAGACATAGTCACTCATCTCAGCCGGTTCAGTCAGAATGGGAATGAAATCGTAAAATTCCCTCACCGAACCGGGCCAACCGTGCAACAAAAGTACAGGTAGGACTTTTTTCTTTTCCAAAGCATCAGCACTGGGTTTGGCATGAATGAAGTGGATTTTTAATCTGAAAAAAGGGAACAGAAAAGTGTAAAATTGCATATGAGTAAGGAAGCTACAATTAACCTTTGAGGAAATACAATTTAATTTAATGCTGCAGATACCATAAATCGGAAGTAAATGCAATAAAAAGTTTGCCTAATAGTATTGGATCTTAGAAAAAAGCCAAACCGATAAATACAAGCATTCGAGAAGTGTTTCTCCCATTCAGCAGAATTTATCACAAAACTTGGGCTTGTGTTCCTGAGCGTTTTAAAATAGTTTAATTGCCTAATTGAGGGATTGACTTTTTGATTTTCCCTGACATATTTAATACTGAAAATGGAATATATCGCCCCACGTTTAGGTATATTACTGTACATCAGTTGCCCCATATTTTCTCTTTTTGTTTTTTGCACGACAAATATTAGTTTTTCCTTTAGTTTTCAAGTTGATCATTTTCTTTATTGAAATGTATCAATACATTTTTCAACCTTGTTAGCCCTGCCAATTAAATGTCAAATTTACAATATGCACATTTCTGCTCGGCCAAATTCATGTAGCTAAAACAAGCAGAAATGTACACCACTCAGCGCCATTTTTTTCTCGAGAGAGCTGCAAGTTTTGCTAGTTTTTGGAGTACGGGAACGCGTTGTAGCAGAATTAGTGCTAATAAGTACTAAATTGCAGGTTCTGGAACACAACTAATGTTACAATCCCATGTAAAGCTACGTTTTCTATAACAATCTTTAAGGCGCTTCAAATAAATTGTTTTGTGAAAGGAAACGCTTTATTGTGTAGTAAATATTGATATATTCATAGTATATGTGCAATATAAATATTATATAGCATTGTACATTATATATTTCAAAAAGTATAGCGTTGCGTTTAAGTTTTAAAGTTGATGGGCACGCTTAAAATTCTGCTTCAAAATTGTTAATAACAAAATGTTAAAAAATCACCTTACATATGGCACTAACAACATGTGGAAGCCTAGCCTTTAGTGCGTAATACGGTATCTCCTGATACACAAACTTCCAACCACATAAATTTGAATATTATATTTCGGGTTCTTTGTGGGTAGATCAGCCGATAGCTTTTACTGCTAGTGCTTTTTTAATATTATTTTAATATAATTTATAACAAAAAAAAAAAAAAAAAAAAAATAAATAAATAAATAAATAAATAACTCATCCCAAATAAACTAAAATCAAAGTAGCTGCATTATAATTATGAAACATATTAAGTTCAGTGGAAATTCAAAGAGTTCACACAGGAACTGGATTCCGATCTTAGTTGTCTTTTGTTATCTACAGTTTTTTATTCAGCGAAGAATCTTCCATAACATACTATTCTTAATCGTCCACGTACATGTATATATTTTTGAAATTGGTATATATTTTTAATGAAAACAATTTGACAGCAAAAGAAGGCAGCAGTCACTTTTATCCTATCATCTTCGAAAATAGAACACTATAACAGTAACCGTTGCACGTTTCCTTTATAGTTTGAAATGCATTGGGATTATATTTCTCTGTAATATCAATTGTTAAAAAACATGGCATACATTAAGGCGGCTGTCTTTACGTTAAGGGGTTACCCCATTTGCAATTTTGGAAGCCCCAAATATTTAATCATTGGGAACCACCAGTTTTACTATTTTTACTGCTGATATTTATTAATTTTGGTATTTAGTGACTGAAATATCGGCGTTACTATGTTTACCAAAATATCAGGGAATATACATTTCAAATTGAAGAAGATCGATTGAGGTATGCTATTGAAAAAAAGGAATTCGTTGTGACAACGATAAAAATCAAAAATTTATTGACGAGGTTATTAGACAACTTGAAACCTAAATAATTATTCTTCTTGCATGCTTGAGAATAAATAAAGATTAAAAAGTCCAATAAGTAAACAAGTAAAAACAGTACAGAAAAGCCAAAGTCGAGATGGACCACTTTGCACATATAGTAGAGCTACATATAACAGATAAACTTTTTTATGGGGAATTTATGAGAATTAAAACATACCAAGTATGATGGGTTCTGAATGCGTATTATTCATAAAAATATATCCTATTTGAGCTGATATTGTACTTTTTAGGCAAAATAAACGTGAAAACGTGTGAATATATATTATGGGACCTATATCCAAATCTGAATCGATCTCTAAAAAACTTAACAGAAGTATTTCTCTGATTAAACGTATAGCTTTATCTTAATCGAATTTAACCAAATTTGATACACTTTCTGCCAGGCTAAATTCGTTCGTATGTGCCATTCAGTTCGGGTTTATATTTACCATATGGTGCACAATGAACTTCAAATCGAATAAATATATGTGTGGGAGCTATATCCAAATCTGAACTGATCTCGATAAAATTTTGCAAAAGTATTTCTAATATGTATTTGATATATTTCCACGAGTATCGTTGTTACGGAGTGCATATTACGGCTGTGAGAGAGAAATTTAACAAATCGGATGAAGAATATATTGGGAGCTATATCTAAACTGATTACCACAAAATTGGACACTCTTGTTTCTAGGCTCAATTTTGTTATTTGGACTAATATTGCATATTTAATGCATAAAAAAAGGCAAATCGGACGAACATATATGTGGGAGCTATATCTAAATTTTGATTATCTCCAACTTCAAGGGTTCGTCCTTGGACCAAACAAATGTTTTGTGCTAAATTTTATCTTGATCGGCAATAAATGTGTTTATTTGTTTACAAAAATACATGAACATACGGACGGACATGCGTAAATCGACTCAGAATGTGATTCTATACAGATCATCAATATTAACTATGGGCCTAACTCTATGTTACAAACAAATTCCTTTAAAAAATGAAGCTATAACTTTATGAATTTTGAATATTTGGTGTTACACGGGGCTATACGAAAACATGGACCTCTAAAGTAAATTATTTGCCAGAGAAGGGGGTGCCTTTTGCTCCAAACACACAATTTCAATCATCAAAATACCGAATATAGGGAGGTACCATTATGTACTGGAAATTGTCTGTCATTGGTTGTAGTAGTACTCCAAATACCAAATTCGATACGGTTCCGGTGAAAATTGTGACACAAATCAACAAAATACTGAATTTCTGAGGCACAATTACACGAGGACTACACAAAATCTCGATCTATATGCACAGTTCTATGCAAAGACGTTTGACGTTAATAGTAGTTTTCAGTTTTAGTATTGTCTGGGTAGAAAATTTCTGTGAGAGTGATTTGAAAACCCGATATTTTATCATTAAAAAAATTCAAAATTCATTCTCATACTAAATGGTTTTTGTGTTATGTATGACCTATCTTGAAGTTAGTTTACCATGATCGACTCAACTCTTTTTATATTTTTCAATGTTTATTTTCGTTTACAGTTTGAAATTGCACTGTCCGGCAATTTTCAAGCGAAATCATCAAGATATGCCAAAAGTATTGCATACTTCTAGGCATAGAGTTAAATACTGCCGTAAGTTTTGTTTTCATTCACGTTTAGATTTATTGGCAAGGAAGAACACAATATTCTACAATTGAATAATATCAATACGAAAATGCAATGCAGTCTAAGTATATTCGACAGGTGGCAATCAACTGTTTTCATTTTCCTTTTTTTCACGTTTCAAATTACCGACATTTTGCCACCAAAGTTTTCGACAAAAAGGATGGGTTCTATCACGACTAAACTATGTCTGCGAGCATATATGACTTTTCTTATTCTATTTTATGAACCAACCAAAAGAAAGTTCAGGCGCTGTTTTTTGCGTAGCAAAAGTTTATTGTCCACTCAAATTCGTTTATTATTAATGGCTCAATAAACAATTGATTGCTAGTTTAAATCACCCATTGCTGTTAACTTTTCACGCATATAAACGATTGAATTATTGATTTCGTTTTACTTACCCCTGAATTTCAGTTGTAAACTGTGGCAAACTATTTAGCAGAGCCTCACGTTCTGGCCATTTGGCCAAGTAGGTGTCACGCCAATATTTCACCACCTGTGTCATTGCCTCGGTGTTGTAGCCATATTCGAATTTCACACCTTCCAGAGGTTCAGTTAATTTTAATGTGCGGTTTAATTGTTTTTGTAAATCGGTAATGATCTGGAAAAAAATAGATGGAAGAAGAAAAACAAAATATATGTGAGAATACTGATGTTTTGGGTTGGAAATACAAGTGCTTATCAATCACAACAGTAGCATCCAATCAAATTGTAATGCGTTGTTGTTCACAACCATACGGTGCAACTTAACTATAGAAATCTAAGATTTTGCACAGAGCAGAATTTTGTCGGCAGACGGGTCAAATTCGAAGGTGGGCTATATCGTTCCATTATATCGTATAGACCCCAGATAACATTATATAGATGATTGGAGTCACTGTTTTAAAGGAATTGTTTAAAATTTAGTATTTGAAGTTCGTAATGAGTAGTTATCCCACTGGTGTCCGATTTCATTAGTCCGTGTATAACGAAAGATCCAATATTCTACATTATAATGATTTGGGGATAAATTTTGAAATAAACATCTCTAAAATTGGCATCTGAAGTTCGAAATGGGAATTAAACCATGTGACAGAAAATTGTCTAAATGGGTCTAGGTTTTCGTATATTATCCATATTACGGTATAACATTTCCCCAGATATTTTGATAATTATAGCAACCCTATATCTTAAGGTAAACAAGGCCTACAAAATTCGACAACTTTAAACATTATTCTATGGAACTGATGCTGATGTGCGGTTGTTGAGTTCGAGAAAAGGACCAAATTATCTGTCCGAATTGTCTGGAAGACTTTTGTCTTAAAAACGTAAGTTTAAAATATTAAGTTCCGTCGGGCCGAAGTTTTAGTATCCTCCACCTTCGGATAAAGAAAATATATTTTTATAAAAGTATCTGAATTCAATCGTGTTCCACTTTAAACTACAAATGCCTGTAAGACCGTTTGGATAATTCTGTTAAACTTTTCAAAAAATAGTAAATTGGGGAGGCCATTGTATGTGGACCATTCCAAAATGGGAACCTCTATAGCAGGGTTGGGCATATTGCACTAAATTTTTAGTGCACTAAGAATTAAATAATTAGTGGTAGTGCAATTTCTAATTCCACTACCACTAAAGGGTTAGTGGTAGTGAAAAATAAATTGCACTACCACTAACCCTTTAGTGATATTTAAAAAAAAAATTGCACTACCACTAAATTTTAGCGAAGCCAAAAAAGCACTATGTATATAATTATTATACCAGGTATAATGAAGTTTATTGAAGTGAGTAGGGAACAACAATCCAGAATATATAGTACATATTAATAAAATTTGATTACTTTTCTAAATAGCACTAATTTAGTGTTATTTTTTATGAAATACCACTAATTTAGTGCAAGTTTTTTTAAATACCACTAAATTTAGTGGTAGTGCTATTGAAATTTCACTACCACTAAAATTTAGTGGTAGTGCAATTTTTTTTTAAATATCACTAAAGGGTTAGTGGTAGTGCAATTTATTTTTCACTACCACTAACCCTTTAGTGGCAGTGGAATTAAAAATTGCACTACCACTAAATGAACAGTGATAGTGAAATGATTAGTGCACTAAAAATACAGTGCATTATGCCCATCTCTGCTCTATAGTCAATTCTATACTTCAAGGATTGTCATCTACCAAATCTTCCAATGTACCAAATTTGAAACAATTTCGTGGGTAAATGTGACTAGCTTTTTAAAAACACCGAATATCGGGAGGTACCGTTGTACCTATGTATACAATGTTGCGCCAACGGATCTAGAACGTATTATGACCAACAACAATCCATTTTTAGACAAATCCGTGAAAAAAATGTGGCGAAAATCATCAAAATGCCGGATATCGGGAGGTACCGTTATATGTCGGCTATACCAAAATATGGACCGATATATCTCATTTTCAACACCAACCATTCTAGTCATTATGAATATATATACTATATGGAGTCTATGGCGAATATTTAGGGATGTTACAAACGGAATGACAGAGTTAATATACCCTCCTTTCAAAGGTAGAGGGTACAAAAATTTTTATATAGGGAATATTATACATTTTGGATCTTAATTCAACATTATGGTGTTACATTCACATGTAAAGTGATTTTTTGATATTTAATAATTAACACTTTCGTAGCAGACTTTTTACTTAAGCGAAGCGCTGTTCTGTAAAAAATGTATACTTCAAATAAGTCTTATACTATGAATATATTAATAAATCATCTATATCTAGTTTTTTTGGTAATTTATAGACTCAAAAACTGCTGAACAGATTTTTCTAAATTCATCATTCACTCATCAGAATCGGAGGAAAATCCAAAAAAAATTATTTTTTGTATGGACATATCTATTGATCAGTATAGATGCAGTCTTCACATATGGAACGTGTGATGGGATGCGGTACAAAAATAAATTCGCCAAATTATATTGAAATCAGTTTAGATTATGATATAGTCGCCATGTATATTTTCGGCCGATTTCATATATTTGATGGACCAAACACGATATGCATCCACAATTTCAATGAAATTTGGAAGGCGTAACGGAATTTGGCACTACAATTAATTTGCCGAATTTTATTGAAATTGCTTCAGATTTGATTGTAGCTCCCATATATATACATATATTTTCGGCGGTTTCACATATTTTATGCACCAAACACGATATGTATGTCGGATTCTAATGAAATTCGGAATGAGTGATGAAATTTGGCACAAAAATAAATTTGCCAAATTATATTGACATTGTTTCAGATTTAAATATAGTTCCCATATACATTTTAGGCCGATTTCATGAATTTGGTGTACCGATTTCAATGAAATTTGGAGATCAAATTATATTGAGATCGGTTCAGATTTGGATATAGCTCCTATGTATATTTCCGACCGATTTCGTGTGTTTGATGGACAAAACACGATATTTATCTTCAGTTTCAATGAAATTTGAATTTGTAACGGAATTTGGCACAAAAATAAATTTGCCAAATGATATTGAAATCGGTTCAGATTTAGATATAGCTCCCATATAAATTTTCGTCCGATTTCACATGTTTTATCCACCAAACACGATATGTATGTCGGATTCTAATGAAATACGGAATGAGTGATGAAATTTGGCACAAAAATAAATTTGCCAAATTATATTGACATTTTTTTCAGATTTGAATAAAGTTCCCATGTACATTTTAGGCCGATTTCATGAATTTGATGCACCAAACACGCTTTGTATCCCCAATTTCAATGAAATTTGGAGAGTGTGATTGAATTTGGTCTTAATATTTATTTGCCAAATTGTATTGAAATTGTTTCAGATTTGGATATAGCTCCCACTCATATTTTCGGCCGTTTTCATGTATTTGATGGACCAAACACCATAAGTATTTCGGATTTTCGACCGATTTCATGTATTTGATATAAAAGTATTTTTTGTCAAATTATATTGAAATAGGTTCGGATTTTGATACTATTTTATTAGGAAACATAGTCCCACCATACATTTGCAATGGTATTAGGCTAATACGAGTAATAAAAGAATTTCACAACAATTTAATTGATTATTGCGGGGAAGCATTACAATAAAAATGTTTTTTTTTTTAATTATTGAATTTGTTTTTTTTTTTTTTATTTAAAAGCCACAAAATAATCATAAATAAAGTTTTAAATACATATCAAATCGAAAAGGGTAGCGAAGAGCCCCGAATTTAGCTAGTATAAACGTAAAACTCTACAGGGTTGCCCATATTCGACTGAAATTTGCGCACTTTGGGCCCATTCCAATCGACGAGGCTTGTAAGCAGGCAACATTCTTTGCGTCAATTGAATTTTGTAAGAATAATAACTTTTAAACTTTTGATTTATTTGATTTCATTTTAGTATTGCTTTCTCAGAATGGTAATCTCCAAATTTGAATTTGTTTATGGTGAAGGATACCAAAAAAGCTGTTCGATCAAGCTGAAACGCACATTGTACGAAAGGTAAACTGTAGCCAGCGAACTGCCATATTGTGGGACAAGATTACAAATATCACAATTTTTCTAATAATTTTTCACACAAAAAGTATTTTTTGTTTACCGCACATTGCTCTTTTTTGTCAATAAGCACTATTTTTCTCCATTTACAAGTTCATTTCACTTCACTTTTGATATGACCCAACATTTGCCTACTAACCTCTGGTTGAATTTTAATTGCAAACGGTTTAATGGTTTTATCTTCTTTGTAATTGGCTGCATCTCCGGGTCCCCAATATTTGTTCGTATCGAACTTGGGTAAGGGGAGTGGTCGAGTCACTTCATCGAACTTAAGATAACCGTAACCGATGAGAACACCGAACAGTGCCACAAATATTAGGAATTTCATTTCTTCCGACCGACCGACCGACCGTGTGTTCCCTTTCGAAATGTTTATTCTATTAAAGCGGGCGAAACTAAATGCCACTCGAGCAACGAATTATCAAAATTTGCCGGCAACGACGACTGCGACAACGTCGTCCGTGTATGAGCGAGTGTCTCTCCAAAGCGTTTGACAAACTGACTGCGTAAGCATTGTCCCCACAATTAAATTTGAAATAGATTGGGATGACTTTATTTATTTATTTTTTAATGGTTTTGGTTTTTTTACACTAGCCTACAATGACAAATAAAAGGCAAATAAATAAAAATAAAATTATTTTCTATTTTTTCCACTTTTAATAATAGCTTCACATTGGGGGACTAAATAGACTAAATTGTAGGGAAATTGCTTGTTTCCTTACAACAAACAATTAATATTAACTATGAACTTAATTTGTTGGGAACATGTGATATTTTTCTCACATATATAATGAGACTTGATTGACGGGTATTCGATAAGAAAGGGTTGAGTTGTGTCATTTATACCTTCTTTCAGCATTTGGTGATAGTTGTACCAAATTTTGTTCACATAGTAAGAACTTGGTTAATTCATTGGATTTGAATTAGTTTCAAAGTAATTTGTTGCAATTTCGATTAAGAACAATATTGAAACAAGTAAAAAGTATCAGTCGGTTTTGCCGACAGATGTATACCCTCTGCCAATGTTCGATTATTTAAAAATATTTTGACTTCTGTTATGAATTTTTAAACTCTTGACCATCTATGGAGTGGGTTTGGAAAGAATGGGTCAATATTGTCCATTTCGTATCTGACCTAAATAAATATGATATAAATATTATTATGAATAAATAAGAAAATCGAATCGAAATCATCTCAGGTTTCTGGATGAGAGACATATATTTAGATATAGCAAGCTGTAAAGAATCGCTGAGTTGTTTCGCAATTTATGACAGATAAAAGTATTGAAACTTTTGTCCCTTTGTGGGTGAAGGGGTCCGCAGATATCTATCATCTTCACAACAGATCTTGTGTTAGCAAAAATGTTTGTATGTGTGAAATTTGAAGAGACTTGGATGATTATTTCACTCTCTTTGAGCGTTATGTTTTTCAGAATTTGGAATCCATCTTCACAGCAGATCTTGTTTTAGTAGAAATAATGGGATGTGGGAAATTTGAAAACAATCGGACTCTTACATCATATTTTTAGAGTTTTAATTCAAAATTTAGACCCTTTGTGCTAGAGGCACTTGACGAAGGGGATTTTAGCTTCCCTTTTCTGTGCAGAATATATATATATATATATATATATATTCTACACAGAAAAGGGAAGCTAAAATCCCCTCCGTCAAGTGCCTCTCCCACAAAGGGTCCAAATTTTGAATGATAACTCTAAAAATATGATGTAAGAGTCCGATTGTTTTCAAATTATATATATATATTTTTTTATTTGTTTATATATTTTTATTTATATATATATATATATATATATACATATATATATATATATATATATATATATATATATATATATATATATATATATATTTTTTTTTTTTTTTTTTTTTTTTTTTTTTTTTTCTTTTGGAAAATTTCGACCATTTGTTGTGGAGGTACCAGAAGCGGTGGACCGACTTTGCCCATCTTAACACCAGACCTTGGATTAATATAAATATTGGTAATGTGAAATTTGAAGACAATCGAACTCTTGCATCACATTTTATGAGAGTTGTAATTATTCAAAATTTTGACCATTTGTGGGGGAGGTACCAAAAGTAGTGGACCGATATTGCCCCTCTCCGAACTCGATCTAAGTTTGACAAAAATATTACGATGTACACAGTTTGTACCAAATCGGATACTCCCTTCGAGAGTTAGCGTGTGCACCAGCCAGACTGACGGACATCACCAGATCGACTCCAAATGTTCTGAAACGGATTTTGTCCAAAGAGACCTAGGGTCTAAAATTGTACATATATACCCTCGAATTCCAAATAAAATAAAATAAAAAACTCTGCAGTGTGATTAAAGACCAAAAATAGGAAGACTATTATCCCGCCGTTTTTCCCAACACTTTGGCAGTTATAGGTCCTAGTGTTTTGAGACTTTGTTGTCAAAATGGATAAATTTTTCGGGTACATGTCTTCCGAACTAATATGATTGTTGGTTATTTGTTCGAAGCAAAGATGTAGCGCTTGTCAGAAAAATAAAAATCACTGATACAGATTTGATGGAGATTTATGACCTCCATCAAACTTAATTTTCATGGTAAATTATACCCTTAGCCATATGCTTATAGATGGTATATCGAAATAACGGTTTTAGACCCTAGGTCCCTTTGGAACAAATCCGTTTAAGGACATTTGGAGTCGATCTAGCGCTGTCAGTCCTTCCGTTTGTTTCAGGCGATTTTGTATTTTTTGATTTTTCAGGGAAATCTGTTCAGCGGTTTTCGAGTCCATAAATTACAAACAAACATACAAACATTTTCTTCTTTTTTATATGAGATTCAAGTTTAGAAGGTATGGTTGTTATTTGGGTATGGTTTTGGAAATGAGTACTAAGTGTAAGAACTGTACTAAATAGTACTAAATTTGGTACAATATGGTTCAGGGCGAATGGATAAAGGTTGAATGTTGAAATTTAGTGTAGAAATGAATGAAAAGTACTTAATGGTACTAAATTTGCAATATAGTGTGGGAAAAGAACTGGAATTCTGAACTTTGGTATTAGGATCACTGTGAATGCTAAGCGTTAAATGAGTGGTTGAATTTTGATTTTTTTGCCTTTTGTGGGAGAGGTACCAGAAGTGGACCAATATTTAAGTCGGACTAACGGGAAGCTGTAAGGAAATAGGTCTCTACTGATTTGACTGAATACAGGCCTTTAAAAAATAATAATAAACTACGGGATCACCAACAAACAATTCATAACGACATATCCAAAAATGTTATTCATGGCGAATTTTTCCATTGGGCCCCATAAAAAAATTGTCCAAGCCTTCTATTCCAAAAATAAATTTTCACTCTCAGGCTTTGAACTCCATTTTGGTGAATGAATTATGCAACATTTTTCAATGAAGACGCTTCATGTTTTACCCACTGAAAACGAACAACACCAAATGACAACCATTTTTTAGAAATTGTACCAGAAGCCTTCAAATTATTGGAAATTATATTTCTTTTAGAAATGTATTTTATTTTTTATTGCTATTTTAGAAATCCACGCATGCAGTAAAATAATTTACAATTTCAAGCAGTTTAATTTCGTTTTATTGGAACTCTTCGTCCATTGGAATTGGAAAAATCTTCAAGTATTAGGCTATCAATGACTACCAGTAGTCGATAACACAACACTTGTTGATTGGTATTCGAGTGTATAGGTGTTGCCATTATCTTATCAGTATTTGGACTTGGAATATTTTTGTCATTTCTTCTACAAACACTGGATTTACGAACTGTTGTTTTCAATTTAGTCTACGGTTATGGGATTTTTCGATCAACGATCGGGTGGTATATGGTTTTGTATAGTGGGTGATTTTTTGATCAAGAGATAGCAGAGACTACAGAGACAATCCGAGTAGAAGTTAGAAATGTGTTGAAATGGCAGAGAATATATTTTGAAATTTGAAATTACATGCGAAGGTACAAAAATATGTATGTGTTGAAGTGTTACTCTATCTTTGGAAACTATAGCAAAGGGCAAACTTATCTGAGAAGCAAAAAAAAAATAAATAAATAAATAAATAAAACAAGTAAAAACGTGCTAAGTTTGGTCGCACTGAACTTTCAATAATAAATTTTCCCTCCAACCTACAGCCCACATTATTTGACATGGAGCTTCAAAATTTGGCAGAACAATTTGTATTATGTCTAGGATGGTATTAAAAATGAGATACATCACGTTTTTGTATAGCTCCCATATAACGGTACCTAACGATATTCGGTATTTTGATGATTTTTGCCACATTTTTCCACGGATTTATCTAAAATTTCTTGTTTTAAGGTCATAATGGGTTCTAGCTACGGTGGCAGAACAGTCCACGTTTTCCTATGGCGCACATATATCGATATCCACCGATATACGTGATTGTGATAATCCTAGATAATCCGACGAAATTCTTTCAAATTTCGTATTTAAAAAGTTTTGGTAGATGACAATCCTTGAAGTATAAAACTGTCTATATATTTTTCCGGTTTGGTATAACCCCTATATAACGGCATCACCCACTTTATGGTTTTTTGAAAAGTTTTACTGCATTATTCAAACAGGTATTTGTAGTTTAAAGTGGAACACGTTTGAATTCACATACTTTTATATAAAAATGTTGTCTTTACCCAATGGTGTTTTACTTGTTTTTATATTCTCAGCCACATGGCTTCAGAGGGTATATACATATTAATACGGTCAAAACGTGCCTAGCCAAAATAACGGTTTTAGACCCTAGTTCTCTTTGGACCAAATCCGTTTCAGAACATTTGGAGTCGATCTAACGATTTCCGTCCGTCTGTCTGTCTCTCTGGCTGGCTGGTACGCACGATAACTCTCGAAGGGAGTATTCGATTTGATCCAAACATGGTAGATCGTAATATTATTGTCACAAATGGCAAGTTTTTCAAAGAAAATAATTTATTGTACAGAAAGAGAAAGGAGAATCTGATTTTGCTCCAACTTTGCGAATCCTAATATGTTCATCAGTGCTAGGTCAGGTGCGAAAATGGACAATATCGGTCCACTCCATCAGGTACCTCCCCCACAAAGGGTCAATATTTTGAATAAATAAAACTCTTATAAAATGTGATGTAAGAGTCCGATTGTCTTCAAATTTCACACATCCCAATAATTTTATTAACCCAAGGTCTGGTGTCAAGATCGGCCCACTCCTTCCGATACATCCCTTACAAAAGGTCTAACTTTAAAAAAAAAAAAATTTTTTTCTGAACAGAAATAGAAGCAAAAATCCGATTTCGTTCCATCTTTGCAAATCCTAATATTTTCGTCAGTTCTAGGTCAGATGCAAAAAATGGATAATATCGGTCCACTCCATCAAATGTCCCTCCCACAAAGGGTCAACATTTTGAATAATTACAACTCTTATAAAAAGTGAAGTGAGAGTGCGATTGTCTTCAAATTTCACACATCCCAATATTTTTACTAACCCAAGGTCTGGTATGAAGGGGGAATATATCGGTCCACTCCTTCTGGTACCT